TAAAAGTTTATTCAAAAATACATTAGTTTAATATTTAAAATTCTTTAAATTTTTACAAATAATTATTATAAAAATTTATATATAAAGAATTGTATGTTATAAAGAATATTTTTACGAATATACATACATGGTTTTAAAATTTATATTCTAGTGTTCAATTAAAAAATATATGCTTCGATAATTAAGACTATAAGGACTGTGAGCAGCTAAAATTACTATGGGAATATAAAGATTCATAGGATAAAATAATTATGGGAATATATTATACATAATTTTATTGTATAATAAATATTATTATTCTTTATCAATAATCAGTCTTATTAAGTGTCACGAGAAAATTTTGTAATACAAAGCAAAGTGAAATTCAAATTCTAATTATTATTTTTTCCAATATCGACATGATTTAATAATTGACATCAATTTTTAATTTTATTAACAATAATTTTAAATAAATATATTTCAAGTAAAGTATATAGTTTAAAAATTAAAAAATATATCAGCTCTTTTTGTGCATTTTATAGCGATAACGTTTTTAATATTTAAAATTCAACAATAATTATTTTTAAGAGCAAAAACATATTATTATTATTATAAAATAAAAATACTTGTTAACACTGAAAAATATCAAAATCTAATATAATACCACTAAATTTACATTATGATTTAACGATTTCATATGTTAAAATTATTTATTAAATTTGTTTTTTTCTTTTTTCCATTTGTCAAACAGAGACGTGATTGTAAATAAAACTATTGTTTTTGACTATTTACATATTCATATCCCATTTTCAATTATCTATTCAGATAAGATGAAAAATTGAAAAATATATTGCCATTGAACCTTACCAATTATTTAATAATATTCATAACATATCCGGATTATGTAATAAAAAAATCAAGAAATATTTGTCGGCATGTATAAACGTTAGTTAACTAAAGATTTATAATAAATATTTTACTTATTACATATACAAATATATATATATATATATATATATTAATATAATTATTTCACATTATATATAATACTGAATATTTCATTAAAATATTTTATTTTATTTTTTATAACAGCCATATGGAGAAAGTGATTAATTTTCAATATCGCAGTGATAAGTATTTTGCTTGAATTAAATAATTTATCCAATCGCAATTGCGAAATGTTTCAAATTTTTATAATAAATACTTTATCATATATTACGAAATTATATTGATTATTAAATTAAGTTTAATATATGAATAAATTAAATTAAATTTCATTCTTTTATTAACACGTATATTATAATTGAATGCTTAAATGTTAATGTAGATTAGATACAAACAGGGACTAGATAATTAAGGAATTATAATTAAATGGAACGATTTTCTATTTAAAATAATAATATTCAAAAAAATAATGTATTACATACTGACGTTTAACATTTGTCAAAATATAGTCATTTCATTTTGTTTCATAATTTGGTCAAATCATTGCTAATAAATAAAAGACATTGATTTTTTATATTCGAAAATTTAACAAAGAAAAGTATTTTTCTTGTTGTATTTAACAATACATATACATTAAACGTTAAACAGTTATTTAAAATAAGATTATAATAATTATACCTTAAATAGAATGAAATATATGAACTTATTTTGTTAATGGGACTACCAATTCAATTCAATTTTTTTCAAAGCAATCAAATACTAATATGAGGTTTTATCGAGGTCAATAGACTCGATATAATAATTTAATTCAGAAGATTTCATACTGGATAAAAATCGTCATTTTTATCCTATAAATAAAAACAAAGAAAAAGGAAAAATATCAGAAGGCCGCCCTTGACCAAAAAATAATGAAAAGTCACCGGAATTCCGAAGACTTTAAGCATGTCCATGAAAATAAAAGAGGTCGCGATAATTGCAAAAAATACGAGGTAGAGCAAAAGGATTACGAAGGCAGCATCCTCGCGTGAATAAAGATGAGATGAGATGAGATGAGAGAGAGAGAGAGAGAGAGAGAGAGAGAGAGATCTTGCTGGGTGCGCACAATGAATAACGAAATACGGCGAAAGAAGTAAATAAAGTGGTGGAAGAAGAGCGGATTCGTGATACAACGCGTTTCGTTGCCTTTACACATGAACGAAGAGGACCGCATTAGTGGCCCCGATGATGCTGTTTCAATAATCACTATCCGGTTAGATCCAGTAAAATCCGGTCGTTGCCACTCGTGGACTCCCAGTACCTTCACATGGCACCGCGCGAAAGGCTTCATTTTCGCACATCCGGCATTTCGCTTACCTTTGCATGATAATCCTGTAATACTCCAGCAATTAGAAAGAAGGTGAAAAAGTGTTGGAAAACAAGTTTAAGTAATTAGTAGCTGAGGTTATTTGAAGCTCGACTAAAGTCTTTGTTGATGCTTGTACCAATTAAAGCATTTGCAATTTTTTCATCATAATTTTATCATAATTTATGTAATTCTAATGGCTACGCGAATGAAATGGGAAACCGTGAATTGTAATTAAGCAATCGTTATAGCGATCCTAGTAATTTTACGAAATGGACTTTTTCGCTTATAGGTGGGTCGGCAGTATATGAAGTAATGGGAAGTCTTTAAATCGGCAAATTTCTTTATTTATAAGCCATAGTTAAATATCAGTTATGTTTATTCATCCTTTCTATAGTTTTTTTTTTTCAGCATAGTTTTTCAAAATTTAAATATTATAAAATACTTGGATAAAATGGCCGATACTCTATTGGATAAACTATGTACAATAATTTACATATTTTTCATTAATTCATTATTTCGATATTTCATAATCCTTTACAAATAAATTATAAATACCTATGGGCAAAAAATACGAATAAGTCATTAAACTGATATATTTTGTTAATAATTTTTTATTTACGCTAACGCGCGCGCGCGCGCACGGACACGTATACTGCTAATCACTTATACGCGATTGACTACTTAAGGTTTACATTTACATTAGTTTATTAATGTACGTATGCGCTTTAATACTCATATATTAATAAATGTTAAAGAGCCAATTCATTATAAAATCGTTTAAATTGCATTTGAAAATCCATTTAATATTTTAAACTTCATTGAGGATTAATTATGAGTGTTTAATAAAAATTATAAAATTATGTTCAAAGACATTGGATAGAATACTCTACTTCTACCTTTTTTTTTTTTTTTTTTTTTCAATAAATTCAACACGGCTTAGATTCATAAATGAATGTACTATATTCCAATCACGTAGATTACATGGAAAAATTGTCGTATTATTATTATAAAATATGTATAAAAGAAAATAGTTTGTAATTTTCCTAGTGTATATTTCATTGAAAATACATATTTTTCTAAGTCATTTTTACTTTTGTTTGTAAAATTGTTAACAAACATAACAATTAATTAGCTAATATATTATTGTAATAATAAAAAGTATTATCTAAACGTTATAGCTATCATAATAATTGAATATAATTTATATATTATTTAACACAATTCATAGAATTTAAAAAAAATTTTCGCAGCATCTATGCATACATAATATTATCAAAATCATTTTAGTAATTAAATAAAGTGTATGTGTGAGCGAAGGAAATTTTGCTACTATTTAGATATATAATATATTAATTTTAATATTTAACTTAATATTTAAATATTATTTCATGATCGTTTTCAAAGGTATCAATAAAAATACATTCCGAATATGAAAAATGCGAACATCTTGAAATATAAGCAATTTTATATTGTGTAGAATGTAAGTGCATTTATTATCTATAATTAACTAAGGGAAATTACTTAATATTGCTTAAACACAAATGACTGCAATTCAAACATCTCTAAATTATTAGTAATAAACATTTGAATTGTATAATTTAATCGACGCTTGATTTATATAATCGATTTATTAAATAATCAGAATTTATTCTTAGTTAGTGTTTTGAAACAGAACGAAATTTTTAAAAGCAGATGTATCTCGAGCTTTTTTATATTCCATTTTACACTCGGGCAATTATGTAATTTACATCAAGTCATATAATTTTATGGATTTCGATAGAAAATTGAACTGAAATGATTTATTAAAATTAAGGATTTGTAATAAATAAGGAAATTATTTTATAAAATATCAATAGTATAATGACGATATTACATTAATAAATAGTGTAATTGTATTTATTTGCGATAATCGGTCTTCTTAATACGAAAATAATTTTAAAATAAATTGTTCTATTCTAATTTGGAATTAAAAGTTGATAACTATACTGTACGTTATTATATGCTAATGACAATAAAAATTATAAAAATTTATAAATCATTATTAAAAGAATTTTATGCATATTAGTTATTACAATTGTAGTATTAATATCGTCATATATCATAATATTTTCTACATTTAATATTAAAAAAGGATTGAAATAAAATTGCGTATATCCATTGAATTGTCACAAAGTTTATTTTTAAAACTTATGTATGATAATCTACATTCTTGGCATAATAACAAATCTTCAATACATTATAAATACAAAGAATACTAAATCTATTCCTGACAATCATAATTTTATTATTAAATTAAATTAAATCTTAAAAGTAGTAAAATTACAAATTCTCTTTCTAATAGAAAATAGTATATCACAATTTTTGCTAAAAATTATTATCAATCATGAAAAGTCTTTGTTACCATTATATTATTAAGATTACTATAGTACGAGACACATTAATTGTCATTGACAATCCTAAATTATTTTACACAATTAAATAAATAAATATATATATATATATATGTGTGTGTGTGTGTGTGTGTGTGTGTGTGTGTGTGTGTGCATATACATATAAATTATAATAAATACTTCTCTCAAACATAAAATTTTATAAAATTAAAAAATCATTATTATAATCAATGTGATTGATGTCTAACTAAATAAATAAATTGTAGTTTGACTACTAATAAATTTCATATTCTTAGTCTAAACTAAAAATACATTTGGATGTAAATATTATTTATAAAAAAATTATATTTATAATATTTTATTCTGTTTGACAAATAGCTGTACGCTTTTGTGGTTGTTCATGCTTTAATTGTTGTTTTTCTAGTTTCTCATTTTTTTCACAATTAGAAAGTGTAGATATCCTAGGAAGATTGGAACGTAAGCTTAGAGAAGTAACATCATTTATATTTTGTCTTGTAACTTTTGCAATTCCTCTTCTTATGCATTCATCGAGCAATTTTTCTTCTTCAGCAGTTAAATCAGAATTTTCATCAAACAATTCTAATGAATTATTAGATTTACAATCACTTTGACATTGCCTTTCTCCCTCGGATATATTTGAATCATATGTATCATTTGTTGGTAAATTAAATGACGATACGTTGTCTATGTGTTGTCGAGTTACTTTTGCAATTCCTTTTCTAATGTACTCGTCAAGAATTTTTTCTTCGTCTACAGAAAAATAAGAATTTTCTTCAAATATCCCATCGTTATTAGATTTTTTTTTTTCATCCACCTCAGTATTTGACCGTTCATTGTTTGAAGCTACTTTTAATGTTTTAATTACAGCTGCTTTATTTTTTACATTACCTTGATCACGTTCATCTACATCTTCATCGTCGTCTATTGTCAAAGAACTTAAGCTACTCGCAGTTACAGATTGAAATTTGACTGGAGTAGATTCTTCTTTAAAAATTGCTAAATCATCTTCGAAGATGCTACGTTTTGAAATTTCTTGCTGAAATGAACACATTTCAGAAGATTGAATTTTATCACGTTGTTGTATTTTTTTTCGTCCCAATTTTTTATCCTTCTGCTGTACACTAGAAAAAACTAGCTGTGCCGGTGAATCTGGAAGTTCGCTTGGAGAAACAACTTCGCTAGCTCCTCGACTAAAATCACTTACTACAGAGCTACGATCATCGTGAAGTGATTGCTGATCACAACCACTAAGAGAGCCTAATGAACTACATCTAGAAAACATCAAAGGTGTTTGTTCTGAGAAACGGTCTTCAACAAATGTTACTATCTTTCCATCTCTATCTTTACACAATTCTACTGGTGATTGCGATGGAGTAACATTTATGATTTTTTCTAATCTTTCCTCGTTACATTTATCATCAAAATCTTCTGCATCATCTGGTAAATATATTTCTCCATCGGCGCCTCCACACTCTTTATCTTTATTTCCGAATTCCATGTAGCTTTTCAATTGATTAATTTCTTTCAATTTCTCCGATTTTGCTTCAGTACAATTGGTTGTTTCATTAACAATTGCGCAGTCCTTGGGTTCTATTTGAACTATATTATATAATTTTATATTATCAAGCTTCGGTAAATCTGTTGTAGATGTGGAAGTAGAAAAATTTAAAGATGTTTTGTGTGAAGTTTCTTTTGTATATGTTGTAATTGTACTTTCTTGTTCACTATTTACAGGGAGACACTCGATATGACTGACTTCCTCTATAACAGAATTTTCCTCTGCATAAAGTAGGCTGTAATTTGTTGGTTGATCGTAATCTGCTTCTATAAAATTACTAAAAAAGTACAGTTTATTGTTAATATTGACCGATGTTGATGCCTTTTTAGAAGCATGTCTTGCTACTTTTGCCGTCATCAGCTCCTTTTAAATGTGCTCTTGTTGATACTGTAGCAATATTAACGATCAACTGAAATCATTTAATAATATAATAATCATATTATTAACATTAAATATATGTTTTAAAAGATTAATAGATCGATAGTTAAAATAAAAAACACTTTGATCAACGTTGTTCAATAAAAATGATATTTATTATTAAATGATGCTTATCATTATAATTAACATTTATTAAAAATTTATTTAAAATTTAACTTATTATATTAATAAATATGTTTTTAATATGGATTAATTAATGGTATAAAGTGAAATCATGATGAATTATGAATACTATTCCATTATTTCATATAAATTATATTATGTATAAATTTTTTTTGTTGTCATTTTTAATTATTAGAGAAATATTTAGTTAGATTTTTTACCTTAAATTTTGCGATAAATATTAACATCTATTTGATTTTAAGCAGTATTTCCATAAAGTTTCGATCCAAAGCTTATTCTGTCAAAATTATTGGATACAATTAATTCAAACTATCATTGCTTACAATTGTAATTAATTTATTGACATAAAATATTATTCCATTCGACGTTTAATATGAAAACAGTGGTAAAACAAATCATGCGACAAAACAATTATTAATTAAATAAAATTAAATATATTTATACCTTTTCAAGTCTTAAAAGATCTGATAAGATTTGATATTTAATTTTTATAATAAAGTTTCCTAAAACAACTTTATTATTTTTAGCTTTTGTCTTCTTAAAATAATTAGATTCCATGTCTGTTTTATGGTATTTTTGTTGTACTACTTCTTCATTTAACTTTGCTTTGAATAAAAAGTTGTTCACGTAAGTTGTTAGTAATTTCCTGCTACTACATTGTTGACGATTAAATTCTTTCTGAAAAATAGTTAATTAAATAATTTTAAATCACCTATAAATACAATATTTTTTGAAATATCATAAATATAATATATTACTATCTATTATACACAGAGGTTAACTTTTTAACATAAAAATTAAAATTACTTTGAAAATAATTATATAACAAGTACTTATCGTACAATTTGACTGGTAATCAATTTTATATTTATCTTTTAATTTTCATATTTATATTAGTAAATTAAAAAGAAACTCATTGGTATCGATAGATATATTAATATAATTACATAAGTTTATTTAAAATACGCGTTTGCAAAATAAAAAATGTAATATTTATAACAACAAATTTAAATGGTAAACATTTGATATAATATGAATGATTGATATAAAAAGCGTATATTTGCGATCCACGTTTAATTGCAACATAAAATAGAAACTAAAAAATTTTATGATTAAATAATTATAATTGTTAACTAATTAACAATTTAAACAATTAAGATTAATTTAAAATTCCATAATCCCGACTGTAAAGGAAGGACTAACCTCAAACAATGTAAAAGCACTACTTGCAAAAACATCCATTGAAAATCCATTTTAAATTTAGTTACCACAATAAATAATGGATTTTGACAAGGAATCTTCTTTTCTTCGGAAAATTTGATCTAAAAGTATCGCGCTGTCTTATTTCTTTAATGTAACTACAGATAATCCCTGTAGGAATAATAATTATAAATAAATAGTACTGGCAAATAGTATTAAAACATATAGAATCGATTGGACTGATAAAACAGATTTTAATACAAGATCAGTACGGAGCCAGTAAAAAACCAAGGTAATAATAAAAAAAAAAAAAAATGTCTAATGCTGAGTATAATACCTATAAGGGCTCGAAGATGTGGAGGTGTCGAATTTATAATAAATTTAATTCTAGTGGTTAGAGCTGTTGCTGTTGGAGCTTCAATATTTTTATTAATTGTTTAGCTTTCATAATTGCAAATAGTGATGTATAACATTCGAATAAAAATTAACGATCATTTTTTAATATTATTATAAAGTAAATGTTAGATGTTAATTATTATGAACGAACGTATTAATAGGATTGATTTGCTATTAGTAAAATTATTATGCTTAAATGAACGTGATGAATAATTTTATCTTCATGATTTTAAATGTTTCGGGAAAATGTACTCGAATACCTCGATATTTTGAAATATCGTTATATGCTTTTAAATATATAGACATTTATTATCGTCTTTATGACGAATTATTTTTAATAATATGAATAATGCCACTTTACCACTTTACCGAGCCATTTAAATCCGCGTAAGTATTTTGCAAATTACTTATAAAAAGTTGTATGTAGTATCATTAATTTAAGTAATAAATACTATAATATGCATTACCATATAATTTATTAACTATGTAACAACACTTATGAAATTGCAATACAAAATTTTATATTTGCATCGGATCATTTAACATGCTAATTGAAAGCATGATTTTTTAATAATTTAATGTCGCGCGTTCATGTTCCAGAATATGCAGCTGTGGCATTTTAAAAATCATGGGAGATATACAGTGTCTCTATGGTTTATTTAAAATAAGCTGTAATGCATTACTTATTGTTCCGTTTGTATTATTAATTTTAATTTTATTGATTATTGGCCTTAGAATGTTTATAAATATTTTCCATAAAAAAAATGTAATTTAACATTCTTTATATAATAACAAAGTTATCTTTATCCGATTAAAAATTAATAGAGAATGTTGTTTAATTACTATATCCATTATTTATACATATTTTTTTAATATTTGGTAATATATGTACTTAAAAAAATTATTCCATAATTAATTTTAATTTTCCCAAAGTGTGATTCATAATTTTTCTGACAGATGGCGCACCCACGTTCGCAGGGCCACATGTAATAAATTTGGCATCATATCATTACAAAATATTTAAAAATTTTAAACGTTAGGATTCCAAGTTTCAGTCGGCACTATAGGCAGAAACAGGTTTTTTTTTTTTTTTTTTTATACGATATTTAGTTTTTAATACTGTTTAATTGTATTCAAGGATTTTTGACAATTTTAAGTTAATATTACCAAAAAATGTCAATAAATATATACGATCATACGATCAAGATGTAAATATATAATTTTTCTGTTATGTTTAAAATAATCAAGATTCAAGATTCTTAATGGAAAAATTCGCAATAGTGATGATAATTGACGGTTGCTCAAATAAACAAATTTATATACTTAAAAAGGGAGAATTGAAAGATAATTAATTGATCAACTCTCTCCCTAAGCTAGAGTAGGTATTGAAATATATTGTTAATTTATAATAAATATATGTTTCATTTTTTAATAAGGAATATAATTACATTTTTAATAAGGAATATAAATACATTATTAAAAATAATTTGAGAATTTATAAATATGTGAGATTGGAATGAAACGTTGAAATTAATGTTAATAAAAAGAATGAGGTAATTATAATGACTATTTGATATAATTATAACTGTTTATATAAATATATAATTATTGTATAATTTGTATTTATGAATATACAGTATTTTAAGTGATATATATATATATATATATATATATATATATATCTTTAAATATGTTTAAATTTTATTGTTAGTGTATTTTTGTTTTTATGTTTAATTATTATTTTTAAATAAAAAATGACTGATAATTTTCTTTTTTATATATTGATATTTACCAAAAGGTAATATATATTATTTTAAACAAATATACTTATTAAGAATGTATTACATATTAAACGTACATAGAATTAATAAAGAACTTTAATGACATTATTCTATTCAAACAATTTTTCTCGCACATTTTTTTTTAATACTTAAATTTTCAAAATTAATAATAATCTATTTGCTGTATAAAAAAAATTGAGAACGTAAGAATTACAATAAAATTACTTGATATGGTTTTATATATTTTTTAGAAATATGTCTGGATCGTACGAAGAATGTAAGAAATGGATTAGTTGGATTCATAAACAAAATTTAGAGAATATTTTAAATAGTTTAAAGGTACAATTTTTGTCATATATTTTATTATAAATTTATATATATATATTTCATAATGAAATAATTTGTGTATATATATATATATTTTTTCAGAATACGGAAAATATAGAACAAGATGCTGAAACCAACAGATATCTATTTAAACTTTTGTTGCTCTTATCACATTGTGCAGATCGATGCTTTAGAGAAAATCTATCGAAAGAAATTGAGATATTTAATATTGCTACTATGACCTGTGAGAAGTTAGCAAGTATACCAGATAAAAATAAATTATTCAGTGCTATATATTATATTCTTTCCTACTTATTGAAAAGAAATGTTTTTATGGAAGCTGAAATTATATGCAAATATTTATTTCCTGGAAAATTTGTAAATATTGATGATTATAAATCTTCAAACTACTATCAAATAGCGTCTTTATGGCAAACCGAAATATTTAAAAAATTAGATACGCTAACGGTGAATTTAAAGACAGAAAGGACGATTATTAATAAACTGTGTAGTTATATAAAATTTCATTTACAAATTTTACAATTTTGTGATGAAAATTCGTGCTACATATTTAAAACTATAGAAATCTACATAAAAAAATTGTCTCATATTCCATTAGATACAGCCTTTTCATTTCTATTAGAGTTGTTTCAATTTTTGTCAAACTATATTATAAATTTAAAAGTACTTCCACTGGTGGAAGCTTATAATCTCATGATACCTATAATAGGCTTAGCATTCTTAAAAAGAAATGATACGATTAATAATTTGAATATCACAACTTATTTTCGACAGTGTGATTCATATTTTCTTGAGTCTCTAAAGACTTCCTCCCAATGCCTTAATTCTTATAAGCTTTTTAGAGAATATGTTTTAAATTTATTTGAAACGAATTTTATGTCAAATGAAATTGGTAAAAATAGATTTAAAAAAAGTATTGAAATCTTAGATATTCTTACGCAAAAATATGGAATGAAAAATAATTCAATTATAGAGACTGTATTTGCAATAACTTATAGTTTCGATACTCTTTTCACGAACTGGGAAAATTTAGTTTCCAAACAGTTGCTAAATACAAATGTAACGTACGATGACATTTTATATATGGGCAGCAACTTTGTAAAACGAATTCATAATATTTTAAAAAATCGTTCGCTATCTGCGAATCATGTATGTAAAAAATGTCCAGAATCAGTTAAGTGTTTGATGAAAAAAGATATATACAATGCCTCAATAGCTACTTCAACGTATTTGAAAATTATTGCGAAAATGAACTTGGAGGCACTTAATGAAAATATTTTTACATTAGCAAAAGAATTAATAGAAGAGCTAGTGTTAGTATTTAATGAATTTGATAAGTCAGGCTGTAAATATTCATCTCCTATGTGGGATTTGTGTGGAAGGACAATTTTTAATATTGGATTAATAAGTGAAACAAAGTATCCCGCAGAAGTTGAAGGACTTTATGAAGTATTGTGCACTCAAATTGTTCATCGTGATGGCCTAAATAGTAAAGTTAGTAGTTTTGGATTAGAAAATCCAGTTGGTACGACGTTACATCGTTTATGCAATTCAAATTTTAATCAAGGTAAGTTTTTTTATTCTTGCTCTTTGAAAGTAAATTGAAAATTTTTTTAATCTAGTACATGCTATTTTTTGTTAGGTATTAATAAAATTGAATTGCTAAAATCAAATGTAGTAGTAATTGAAGGAATTGTAAATTTAATTAAATTATTGATCTTTTCTTTGTTTTAGAAAAGTATAGGAAGGCTATGAGTTATACAGCTTACAATGCACTTTTGAGCAATTATGAAAACAGAAAAAAAAAGGCATTTGATATGTGGGCCACCATCAAACTAAAACTCATAGACTCTCAAGAAACTCAAGAACTTACAATGCTAAAGTGTTTGAAAGTAGATATGAACGTAGTAAAAAAATTTGGCATCGTTGTGAATCTTGATAATTATAATTTAAATGATTTATGTTTGAGAGAGCTGAAATCTTTATATCAAGTTAAAAATAATTTGATTGTTGCAATGAAACATACTTTAATCGATCTGGGTGAGAATTGCTTTTACTTAATTTTATTTGTAGATTGTAAAGTTTGTACATAAAATATTGAAATTGCATATTTCAGTAATTTATATTTTAATCGTTATATATATATTTTTTTTTTAATTTTTTTTTTTTTTTTTTTTTATAAAAATACAAAGAAGTACATTACAATTGTAGAAAATTCTCTAGTTAAAATGAATAATTTCTATTTCCTTATTTCTAATTAGAATCTACGAATAATGGCTTGTATTATGCACAAGGTGTATTTCTGCTTTGCTGTCATGCTTTACAATTTAGCAAAAGAGAATGTATTTCTGATTACATTTCAAAAGCCATTCAGAAATTAATAAATTATCAGCCCAAAACACCAGGTAGTCAGTGTTTATTAGCAAATCTCAATTTCTTCAATATTATTGAAAAACTATGTGCTAGAAGTCAAGCTATTACTAAGCAAATAGACGATGCTAGTTTCACTATAAAAGCTTTTAAAAAATTAAAAGCCAAACCAGCGGATGATGAATTAGAAAATCAAGATGAAGTTGTACCTACATATGGCGGAATTAATATTGAAGAAGATGGTAAATGTGCTAAAGAATTACAAAATGTACTGTCTGCATGGGAAAATTGCTTATTTAAAAATGTGGTAAATTTTATTGATAACCGAGTTTTTTTTAATACAGTTCAATGTAGTTTAAAAACAATTTCATTTGTTATTTATGTTATATTTAATTACTTTTAGATATCAATTGTTAATGATTGGGAGCCTAAATTAACTCTGGAAACAATTATTATATGTGGAGAATACTGTCGATTATATAAATTTGTTAATAATGAACGGAAATCTTGGAATTTAGCTTACAAATTATCCACAGCTTTACAAGATCTTACAACATGCGTATACAGTAAATATTATTTTCTTTATTTATATTTGCTTTAATATTAATGTTTCAAAATAATTTTTAAAATTTTATATTTTTCAGTTACTAGTCGAAGTGTATCTTTAAGGCACATCGATGATGAATGGATTAATTGTGCTGAAAAACATGTTGAAAGTATCAAGTCCTCTAATAAAACCGCTGAAACGGATGTCGTTGCTATATTTTGGTTAAGCTTAGCAGATTTTTATTTTGATTGTAAAAAGGTATTGTAAAAATAGTTTTATTTCACATGCTTAAAAAAAACATTGGTAATAAATATAATTTTCATGTGTTTCAGATTGAAGAGGGTAGGATATTATTAGAAAAGGTAAAAATGATGTCAAATTATTATATGCTTACAAACCCAAAAATATATATTTACTCTACTGATATACAATTTCGCAATTACTATCTAATTAATTCAAATACTAGTCAAGAAGATTATTGTAAATTGTTGGTTGAAATTCATTACTTAATGATAAATTTACATGATATTATAATCGAGGGTAAGTAGAATTTCGTAATAAATCTATGATATTGCCAATTGTCCAATTTGAAACAATATTTTTAATGTAAATTCTTATTTACGGATATAGAATATAGTTAATATGATTTTGTAATTTTGTAAATTTTGAAAATGATTTTTTTTAAATACATAAGTGATTATTATTTTAAATATTTAGCTTGTTAAAGGCCATTAATTTTAATATATTATATTATAATAATATATTATAATAATTTATTATAATTATTTATTATATATTATATATAATTTATTATAAAATATTATAATTTATTATAATAATATAGTAATAATAAAAATTATTATACTAACTTTGCTTTATACCATTGCTTTATAAAAAAAAAAGTACAAATTACAATGATTAGAAAAATCATAACTTAAAGAATATATTGATTTTAGATGACCGCAGATTTTGGAATGTAAGATTTCATCTTTTTGCATGTGAACAAATGTTCGAAGTTATGTATAGTATAATTATTCCAATGAATAGTCTCTTATCATTTCGTGATGTATCGGCTCATCTTTCTTATGGACTAAAAGTTGCTCAAAGTTTTGGAATGACACTTAGGATAGCACAGTACCTAAAATATTTGTGTTATATCGATCTATTGCGCATACAAACGGAAAATTGTGAAGTGCGGCTTCAAGATCTCGAACACATTTTATGTCTTGAACAATTTAACGAATCCATGAAAGCCAAGGTTCAAGATAAAACAAACAGTGTAAACAGGGTAATGATCTTTATAGATAATTATAAAAATTTTACTACACGTATTATTTGCTATTATTAAATTAAATTAAACTGCGCACAATTGCTTCAAAATTTTGTAATATATCAATTGAACTATTAGTGCAATTCATTTAATAATATAACAATATCATACAATGTACTATATAAATATATAAAAACAATGTAATATTAAGAGTTATATCGAGTTGTTTTTTTTTCTTCTTTTTTTTCTTTTTTTTTCTTTTGGATTTTGATTATTAAATGTTTTTTTAATGTGAATTAATTATAAAAGTAGAATTTATAAAAAAAAAAAAAAATAATAGAAATAAAAAAACTATTGCCCCTTATTATTATTATAATAAAATTAAAAAATTCTCATTTCAATAAAAATAAAAAAAAAAAAAAAAAAAAAAACTGCTGATAATTAATGTTTCGATATTATTAAATTAATATACATTTTAACTTTGCAGTTAGCAATGACTCGTACAGATCTCAATGATCCAGCAATAATACCTATTAATCTAGGGAAGCACAATGCTTCGCCAGAGTTGAAGAAAAAAATTTTTTCAACGCCAAATTTCCTTACGCACTCGTTATACTGTCAGTGTTTTATTTGCACAAATCTCTATTATCAATATCTAACATTTTCATGTACTTATATTAGAGCGCATCTCTATAGTCTTCTAAATTATGCAAAAGAAGCCGAGCAATACTTTCACGGAGCTTATAAGATAAAACTGACAGTAGACCAGAGAGATAAAGATGAAACTCGACTCTACAAAGATTACAAATGGAAAAGGAATCAAAATTTCACAATCGATGCTTTACTATACATGTTGGATTTAAGTATGTTTATTATTGATTTTAAGCCAAAGCAAAAAGAGGATGCTTTGGCTTTAATCGAGGAAACTATGGAGATCGCATCGCAAAATGATTTAAATAAACATTATACTTGTGTATATGCGACCGAACTCTACTTTCAACATTATGTTTACGATGTTTTCAAAGAGCAATTATGTAAGTTTAGAATATAGATTTTTAATATTAATGTTGCTTCGTTAAAAAACAAATTTTTTATCTTTATTTCATGTTAAATTGTGATATTAAAATATTAACAAATTTAATAGTATTAATTATTAAGATATATAGCATTATAATTTAGTTTACTAATAATAATAAATAGACACTTGAATATGCATTTATAATTTCAATGATCAGCTCACATACAATAGAGTACTCGCAATAATATTAACGCTATTTCATATTTAGCTATCACCGTACCTCAAAATATAGCAATTGACATAACAAACCAACCGATTAATAATTGTGCAACACCTATGCACAATATTGAAAAAACAATGCGCACTCGACGTCAGCGCAAATCTTCACCGACAATAGACATTCCAGTTATCACGATTGTTGACACGAACAATGCGAATGATTGTGGTAATTCATTAATAGCCAAACCCAGCACTAAGGAGCGGTCTACCAGCAAGAGGTCGACTACCCGAAACGTACGCAGAAAAATTCTCTTGGATGAGACAGAAGAAATTACGAGTTCGACCGTAAAGGAAGAGCAAAAGTCAACTAGGAAAAGAAATGTGAAATCGATGAAAAAGCCAATTGATTTTTCATCAACGAGCTAACGACGTTGAATCATCACAAATTCATTGCGATATTACCATTCGTATGTTTGTAATCCACTTGTATATAAATAGTTAACTTAATACTTATGAATTCGTTATCTTTTCCTTCTATCTACTTTTATGTTTCATCAAAGGGTAATTATCGTTTTATAATATTTTATATCTGTATCTAATTTTATTATTCACCATTAGATCTATTAAAAGTACTAGCATTCTTTTCATTTTCTAATGAAGTAAGAAATTAGAAAGTACTCAATACAAATACATCCTTTTATGAATTTTAATTTTACATTTCATTAAAAATTTATTGTAATAAATTGTTATTAAAGCCGTTTAAAGCTGAAAACAATTATATTTTTTATAATATTTTATGTAAGTTTTTTAAGAAAATAATATCTAGCTATTTAGAGAAGGTATCTAATGTTATATGCAGATCATTGTATTAAAATTTTGCATTCTGTTTAACATTTTTCCAATTAGTCTCCCATTTCTTAGGAATGCAATTAATATATTCCATTAATGATATTTTTTATTAATTTTATTTATTTTAATAATTTCCGATATTTGATATTTGTTAAAGCTTTTATTGAAATTAATATGAGGTATTAATAGTAATACTGAAAAAATAAAGTATATAAAATATTCTTAATAATCATTAATTCTGTAACTTTAGTAGCAGTGAGGATCCCTTAAAGAAAATTGGTATCTTTGAAAAAAAAACTATATCTCTTTCAGTCTTAAAAAGGTAAATATTTTTTTTTAAACATTATCAATAACTATAAAATTTTTTTTAATATGTAAATAAGAAATATAGTGTAAAAAAAAAAATATATATATATATATATATATATATATTTAAATAAAAATTTGGTTTCTTAGTTTTGTATTATTCGAAACTTTCTATTTGTAAATATTCTCTTACTCATGCTACTTACTGATCTCGGACATTTGAACAATATATTTTGCTTTATTCTTTATAATATTAAGAAATAAATTTGATTAAAAAATAAAATTTGTTGTTACAAAGAATCATTTTCAATCAAAATTAGTATTTTTTTTTTTTTTTTTTTTTTTTTTTTTTAAAGAATTTTTATGCTAGAAGATACTTAATTATTCCATCGAGGTTTCAATTTGTTTATTATTTTCAATAAGATTTTTATTTAGATAAACAAAAATAAAATTGTATTTTACTATTGATTTCTTTCGTATTTCGTAAATTTAATTATAAAAGTGATTTAAATGTAGAAAAATCACATTTGCACACACCTAACGAATTATGTAATAAAGTAACTTTTTATTTTAGCTGTACGAAATTGCTGTAAAATATTTTTGTATAAAAGTTGAATTTATTTGTAATAATTTATATTAATTTAAGTAATATTAAAACTTTAAGAATTTTGACCATTTATATTATAATAAATTTGTTGTTTACGTTTAATCGTTCGATTACACAAATTTGTTATAATACTTTAAATTGAACTTGTGCTATTATTATTTTAGAATAAATTATTTCTAAATTTTTTACACTTAATCATTATATTTAAATTTATTATTTAAACTAAATATAAAAGTTCAAAATAAATTATAATAATGCTAATATAAACATTAAAATTTTTTAAAATATTACTATGATATGTGAAATTATAATAACGTCTTTGTAAAAAACATTTATGTCCGAAATATATTAATTGATTTATAAAAAAAAAAAAATATCACAGAAGAATGCTTTACGATTTTTGATTTCCTAGTTCAATTTTTGTTCCTAAGTCAAATTGAAGGATATAATCAATATTTAAATGCAATTCTTAATTGTTTTCATTTTGACTGGGCAAGTTCTATCAATGCAAGAGCTGCAATCCATCTTTTCTTATCCTCTTGAACCGATTTAGTAACTTTACCGTTTCCAACAAATGATGACACTTCTGTTTTGCTTTTATTTACTTTTTTATTTTTTTGATACTGCTTCAATGTACCCTAATACAAATATTTTAATAAACCACTTTTTATGATTATTATAAATATAAAAAGACAATAAATCTTTATTAATTATTATCCTTTTGAAGACATCCACCCCCATTTTATTGTGAATTCAATAAATTGGATCGAAATTTTATGCCAATGGCGGTAAATTTTTTCAAAAGGATTTCATTAGCCGTTACTCGTTTCTTCCCGTTAAATTAACTATTTACATACGTATAACAAAACTTCAACAAATTGAAATATATAAATACTAATACGTTAAAATATACATACGTATATGCGTATATATATATATATATATATATATATATATATACAATCAATAATAAATTACAAATTATTTTATAACGTACAAAATAGCTATTTATATTTAAATTTGTTATAATAGTACTTTAATTCTACAGCTAGTATTCATATTATTATTATTATTATTATTATTATTATTATAGATATTAGTATTAGCAAGATTAGTAGTAGTAGTATCATTATCATCACCATCATCATCATCATCATCGTCGTCGTCGTCGTCGTCGTCGTCGTCGTCGTCGTCATTATTATTAATATTAATATAGAAAAGGAATATATGCTATTGTGAGGAGATAATTGTTTGAAAAGTTCTTCGGAATGTTAATAAATTTTATATTACGTATACATTTTTAAAAACTACATTATTTTTCTGAATCGTAAATAATTTCAAAGTAAATTATATGCAACTTACATTGATTCTCGAAAAGTGGAATTGCGTGTGTTTCTCTCTCATAGTCTCATCTAAATGAATAATTTCCTGGACCTGCGAGTTTGGAAAATTCTTTGATGGCTGATATTCTAAGCAGAGATTACGTAGCCACGTGCTTTTTAAATTAATCTCGTCGGTCTCATTTTTTATAGAACCAAAGAAAAGTTCGTCACCACTTTCATCAACTTGACATTCTTTACTTTCATTAAAATTTGACTTAAGATGATGATTCGTTTCTACTGTCAAAATTTGCTTCTCCTCTGCATTAAAAAGACTATTGTGCTTTTTAAACCATTGATTCGTCGGCTCTAAATTCGAATTTTTTATGGGTTTCAGATACAAAACGTCATTCACGTTTGCAACAGCAGCATAAGTATGATCCAAGCGATGATGATTTCCATAAGTATAGCGTATTTTCATTTTTGTTGGACGAGATCTTGCTAAAGCTCTGTGACGATTGAATTGTCCGTTTTGACATTTTTCTGCAAAATATTCTCGTGTAAATATTTACATTCAAACATTAGCGATTTTAAGCTTTGTTAGAAAAAGTGTTACGATCCATGCAAATTTTAACATAAAAATTCAAAAATTTTCTTATTACTACTATATTAACGTATAAGCTTGTCTTATGTCTTACTAGTGAGCTTTCATTGTATTATAATTTAAAGTTGCGTATTTAAAGTCACGTTCCTAATGCTTATTAATATTTAAAATAATAGGGGATGCTTTTTTTTTTTTAATACTACTTTTGATTTAATAATTTATGAAAAATTTAATAAATTTTTAAGATTAAATTAATATTTACATAAATATTTCGTATTTTCAATAAAAATAAATATATGGTTAATAGTTAATTAGGTTAAATAGCACAAACCATTGTTTAATTTTGCATCTGTAGGATTTTTGTCTTTTAAAGTTTCACATTTATCGCAACTGCATCCTTTGCAAGTTGAAGCAATCTGCATTATTAAAAATATGATAAAATTTAAACTTTTACATAAATGTCATAGAAGGTGTTTTGAATACTCGCGCAACGAAATCGTGCAATGATTAATTCACAATTCAACTCGATCGCCAGTAGTTTGTTTATAAAAATTTCAAATTTAAAGACAATAACATTTATTTGACATAGATTTAAAACATTACCACATGGTATATAAACGAGATAGAGCGAATAAGAAACGAAAACTAAATTCAAGGTTTTTCATTTATATAAATAATATTAAGTTTATCAATCGTTATATAGGAAATAAATATGATATATCGTATGAAAATTGACGACATTATAGTAAGCGACATTATTAACTACTTAACAAAAGTAATATTTTTATTTTCAAATATTTTAATTGTGTATTGAAAAGCAAACTTTCAAACATTCGGATTAATTAGTTCCAATTATTTGCATTCTATGGTACAAAATCATCAACCTCAATACAAATAGACAATAAAATTATAAAAAAAAAAAAAAAAAAAAAAAAAAAAATTCTTTTATAATAAATTAGATAATAAATTCCTTGAAATACAATACTATAAATCAACAGATTCTATTGGGATCAAAGAATTAAATAATGAAAACATTTTAATAAAGAAACTTTATTAAATATAAAACAAATGAAAAGTGTAGGGCAATAAAGAGAATGAATTAAATAATTGGAAAATAAAATATTTTATTTAGGAAAATAGTTATATATTCTTTATTCCTTTAAAATAGGAGTGATAAATAATAAATAAATGCATAATTATATCGATTTGCACTGATTTCAAAATTAAATACGTACATTTCTTATTACGGATCGTTGCATTTTTTAAGCTATAATTATTATTTTTACGGATAAAAATATTTCATTCCAGTGAATATATAATTAAATCGTTTATATTAATAAATTCTTATTTATTAATTAAGTTTTGACGTGCAATTATTATATTTCCAATTAATAAACATTTTATATGAATTTTAATTTAAAAAAAAAAAAACCAAAATCTATGTTACTACATTTTAAATAATTTAGTTAATAAAACCATACGTAAAACTTCAACATTAACTAGATGATTACATATTTTAAGAACAAATACCCACCAAAAGTACTGTAAAATATTTCATTTGTTTTATAATTACTTATGCCAGATGCACTAGTTTTTAAACATTTTCAAATCAACATTGTAAAAATTGTTTAATTTAAAATCAAAGATTTTACAAAAAAATAGCGTAGAATCGCCAACATAAGTTTTATAATTTTCTTAAAAAGTAAAATAATGAAACGAAGGATGCAAAAAATACCATGAAAAATGGCATGAGAAATGAAAGGATTACGAAGAAAATAATTTTTTAATTTAATCCTTTTAATCTTATAATTGAATGACATCGATGCCTATCGAACGAATATATAAAGACTCGGATTTGACGATAATTTTTTTAACAAAAAATGGTATAGTATGAAAATAACGTAAATTGGAAAATCTAATGTTCTACATTTTAAAATACTTATTAACATACGAAAATGACAATGATTATATTACGTATATTTTCTTTCTATCTTATGTAAAAGTTTTTCCGTCTAGTTTATTTAATTTAATCTTATACTAACATTATTTGTTTTTCATTTTAATTTATTGATTTATAGATTTATTGATTATCGGTTATCTCTATTGTAAGAATACAATACATCATTATATAGTCTTTCTGTTGATCATAATTCTATTAATTATTTTAGATATTTTTTATTGCGCACAAGTTTTAGAGAAATTCTATACAATAAAAATTTCAATAAAATTGAAATTAAAAATTATATAGAAATTTTTTTCCCATAAAAATACTTATAAGAACCAGTCTTTGTTTTTTTAGTGCATAATCCAAATTTACATTTATTATTATGTTATACAAATTATTTGTATTTCACTTATTTTCTTTATATTTTATGTTAGTGATAAAATGTGTAATCTCCTTTCATTTAACTAGTTACATGTTTAAATTGTTATTTAATACTTACTTGCTCGTAATGTTTTTGTATTATAATGTCTATATTTCTTCAAGCATTGGTAAATTGTATGTTAATTTAATTAATAAATTATTGTTTCTTTGGGAATGTGTATTAAACATAAAGAAAATCGTTAAACTATAAATTAACTATTTGTCAAATTATTATATTTAACAATATATAATAATATAATCTAATTTCCTAAATTATATTATAAATTCACTTTGCATTTCGTTTTTCTAAATTTGAAAACATTTATTTAATATTTAAGGGGAATCTCAATTAAAATTATTAATCAAGCATCAAAATATATTTATATATTTAGGTAATAAATATTATAAATAAACATTATTTATAAGGATGTGAATTATGTTGGCCAAATTTATAAGTAAATGAAACAAATTCCCAGAAGATTTAAAAGGTAATAATTTTAAAGTAGTAATGAATTAATTAAAATAAAGAGAATAATTGTTTATTCCGTGAACATTTTATTTTAAGTAGGGCATTATTCAGCTTTTTTAGTAACTCTTGTTTTTTTTGTAGGTAATGGTTTTTGCGAGCGCAATATCGCACTAGCTCGACGCAATGCCACCTGAAAAAAAAAAAAAAGTTAACTTATCATATGAATTTTAAACACTTATCATTATAGAAATGGCTAAGCTTTAAAGCTTCGTTAGAATGAAAACGATGATTTATTAAAAAATATATCATCGTTTGTTAATAAATATCATTTTGATTTTTACAAATTTCTGTCAAAATAATATAAAACATGTTTTATAATGTAAGCTTTTTACTTTTAATTTCCATATGAATGTCAATATTTACAAGAATTAAAGATATAAATTAAAACCATATTTGAATGCGTATTTAATCAATAAAGAATTTGTTTGTATAGAAATTTATACGTAAAAATAAGGAAAATGATGAAATAGATCGTATCACTTCAATATTTCACCTATATTTGGAGAAAAAGAAGCAATCGTGATATTGCATTTAAATAAAATATATCGACCAAATTTTACAACACTATGTTAATATTATTATTAAATATGCTATGACACGAAATACTTTACCTTTGTAAGATCAAGACGGTATTTATTTTTCTTTAATAGATTTTTTAATTTGTATAAGGATCTGCGTGGACCAGCCTTCATTGTGCTCTTAACGGTTGCCTTTGCAAGTTTATTTATATTTTTCGTTTTCTTATATACAACGGTGAAACCTTTCCTATCGGGTGTATCAACTACACCGATACTTTTGCGATGAACAAGCCCAGAGTATCGAAAACTGCTCAGATTTGTTAAATTATTTGTTTCCTAAAGCACAGTGAAGGAGAATAATGTAGCGTACAAGATATTAGTATATTAAAATAAGTGCAGGTAACGCATGTCATATTATTAAAATAGACATTCAAAATATATTTAACGAATTTATAATCAATGTCTTTATATATAAGTGAATCTTACCGTTGAAAATGGCTTGCTAATGTTACGTTTCTTAAGAAGAAATGCGTTGTTATTGCGGACAATCATCCAATTTAAATGGGACGACATTTTGTGATGCTGCAATCAGTTTATTACAATCATGAAAAATCATTGGATACTTTAACGTATTTTCATCTTTTTGCCAATTGGTTAAAAAAAAAAAAATAAAAAAAAAAACAAAGAAGTGTCGATGAAATAAATTATATTTTAATTTATTAAGACTAATTAAATTAATTTTAATATGAGAGGCGTGCGGAGAAGGAAACGTAACCTCATCCTCTTGCATTTGCCACGTGTTTTAATATTTAATTACATTAGAATCATATTTATTATTGTGAAATTAAGATATTAACTCATTAATAACTAGTCTTTCAATTAAATATTACAATAAATAATAGTTTGATATTAATCATAATACATTAAATTTACCTTCTCTACTGCTTAACGTAGAAGCCAATGCAAATAGAATAAAAGAGAACGAGGTTATTTCGATTAGTTTCTTTGATTTAGTTATTTGAGGTTAGGTCTCAGCTCTTTGATCGACAAGAATTTCGGAGCTTGGAACAATTAGATTAGCATCAATTATTTTGAATTTGAATCTTCAATTTTGATTTTGATGAAAACACTAATATATCTACACATATATACGTATATATATATATATATATATATATATATATATATATATATATATTAGTTCTATTAATAAAGATTTCTTAAAGTCTATATTAAATAGCCAGTTGTTGCAATTTTTGGAGTAGACTCGTCTATTTTATAAATGTAAATTAGTGATCTCGTTTAAGTTATGCATGGACAGTTTTTTTTTCTCTGCTTCACCAGCTTCAGCCAATTTTGGGAATAATAATCTTTTTACTTTTAAATATTGCATTTAGTGTGTTTTTCAATTCATAAATTAAAAATCTATCTCGTGTAGGTCTTTAAGATCTTAAGTGGAGAGTCCGTAATGTCCGTAATGCATTGTTTATAATTCGATATGCAAAACGTGAATCAAGGAATTGACACAGAATTAATATATAAAATTAATATTCTTCAAATATAAAAATGATGTGAAATGTAACACCAACCAACGGGACGAATCTAGATTAAAGAAGAAACAATCGCTTCAGCATTGCATACGTATGATTTTTAATTACCGCCCTGCCGCTACTCCATTTAATATTATAGGCGGCGAACGTGAAACGAAACATTAACAAGCGATTGGCTGTCATTTTCGAATGTTCTAACAATATTTGTATTCTCAAATATAAGAAGTATAAGGTACGTGATAATCGCAACACGTGCAGAAGTATTTGCTACATTGTCAAACAGCGACACATGTTGAATAATATAAATTTAAGATAATTAATAAAAGAAAAATGGCAAAAAAAGTATTGAAAAGAAAAAGGAAAGAACTAGAAAAGAGTAAGGAAGAAGAGAAAATAGAGTTACCTCCGGCAAAAAGATTATCCGATGAGCCGATTCCAAAAAAGGTTAGCAATGATATAGAGACAAGTAGTTTATATCGCATGTAATATGTTTATTTGTTACTAAAAAGTTATTATGCATCCTATTAATTAAATATGTTATAAATTGTATATATATATATATATATATATATATATATATATATATATAGAGGTATAATATAATAATATATAAATAATTGTAATGTTGTTTAGCCTAGATTAAATTATCTTAAATAAAGATGTACTGTTTGTTGAATTTATTTAGATTTTAATTCAACATGCTGCATTATTTTTACTTTTTCTTAGTAGCAATATAATTGAAGTAATTTATTATAAGGCCAGTGTGCCAGTATGCCGGTTCTACTTCATGCGCTATGTCTTTTATAGGTTAAATGGATAAACAGACAACGTGTATTAGTCTTTGCATCGAGAGGAATAAATCATAGGGATCGTCATCTCATGGATGATATAAAAATGCTCATGCCACATCATCGATCGGATTCCAAAATGGAACGTGCAAAAAACCTTCAAATTGTTAATGAAATATGCGAAATGAAGAATTGTAACAAAGTTATACTTTTTGAAGGGCGTAGAAAGAGGGATCTTTATATGTGGTTATCAAATGTTCCTGAAGGTCCTTGTATTAAATTTCTTGTTGAAAATAGTAAGTTTCTTTATATTACATATACAAATGTATAAGTTATTATAAAATTTTCTACTTTCTGCCAGTTTACACTATGAAAGAGTTGAAAATGACTGGAAACTGTTTACGAGGCTCTCGACCACTACTGTCGTTTGATGAAAATTTTAACTCTTTACCACATTTCTTACTGTTAAAAGAATTGCTCACGCAAATATTTGGTGTTCCCAATCATCATCCAAAGAGTCAACCATTCTTTGATCACGTATATACTTTTAGCATTCTGGATAATAGAATATGGTTTAGAAATTATCAAATCATTACAGAAGAAGGCCAACTTACGGAAATAGGACCAAGATTTGTATTAAATCCAGTAAAAATCTTTAACGGTAGTTTTGGTGGAGAAATTCTTTGGGATAATCCTCATTATATTTCACCAGCTAAGGTACATAATAAATAAAATTAATAAAATATCGATAGTTAAGTTTTTTTGAATTATTGCTTAAAATACGTTTAATTACAAGAGAAAAGTAGTTCGTTAATTTAAATTACATTGCCATTAAAAATATTTGTCCTTCTGTTTAGTATCGTCAGTCACTTGCTAAAATGGCCGGTGGAAAATATTTAAATAGAATCGAACAAAAAGTGTCGGCTCAACTTAATAAACCAAAGGAATCGTATGCTCTCGATCCAATGGATGACATATTTAAAGGAGATATTTTGCAAGTAGCTAAAGAGTTGGAGGAAAAGGAAAATCAAAATACTTCCACTACACCAACTAAAGAAAAAGTTTCGCTTACCAAAAAGAAAAAACTTGGTAAAATTATGAAAAAAAAATCGAATTTACAGACGAAAAATGCAAATTTCTCAGTTTCAAACGTCGTTAAGATTAAGAAAAGTATAAAAAAGAAGCCTGGCCTGAAAATTAAAAAGAAATCTCCTGTAAATAAAAAATTTAAAGGTTAAATAAATAAAGCCATTTTATTGGAATTTCTTTATTTTATATATATTTATACTTCACAGTACATGGTATTTTATAATAAAATATAGACATTAATTATTTTTTCATTTTGTAAATACTTTTGACATTTGCAATTTGATTGTTATGTGTTTTAAAATTTATTTAAATTTGTTTAAAGTTATTAAGGCATTTTTCCTTTTCAACAAAACTACACATATTTATTTTATTTTGCGAATATTGTTTATTACATAATTAATGTAAATGTAAATTATTGATATCGATGAAGTTTAGGTGATTCAATTAATTATGCAATAAAGCTAAATATTAGTTTAATAAAATTGTTGTGTCTAGCATACGTGACTATATATACATATGCATGTTGTGTGCGCGCGCGCGGATGCGGTGAGTGAAACATCAAATGCAACCATATAACTATTTTCTAATTATAGAACGTTTAAATAGAGTTTTTCTTCTCTACTCAAATTAAATGTTATTTTAAATTATGAAGAATATAATCATCAGTCCTTTAAAATATTCTTATAAAGATACGCAATCATTAGAATAAATGCATAGTCACTAATGGGTTTCCCCTACGCTACAAAATTTATAAAATATAACTAAATCTCATCTTTTATAATAATATATTTTTTGTTCTCATTTTGTAAATACATAATCTTTTTAAAAGGCCATAATAGATAATTAAATTTGTTTGTTTCTTAGAATATTTTGTACTTTTTTTTATATCCAAGGAAAATATTCTTATTTTTATGGATATCGGATGGATAATTGGATATTGACATATATATATATATATATATATATATATATATATATAAATATAATTTTTTGGGTAGTAAGCCTCTTACTTAAGTTAATATGATTCAGATTATCATAAATGTTATCATTTCTGTTCAAAAATCTTTTGGTGAAAGCAGGAAATCAAACAATTTATATAATCCAATATAATACCAATGTAAAATATAAAAATTATTCATTGCTGTAAGTATCTTAATGTTTGAGTGTTATCGAATGCGCGCAACGGATAAACTCAGTACTTCAAGATTGAAAATATATTATTGTGAAACAATATAGAAGCAAATTTTTTCTATAATTATAAACATTAAATTGTACAAATTTACTGTTGTTTTTGAGCACCAAGGACTTATGAAATATTAAATTATACTTGTGTAAATATAATTAAAAAATCTGTTTAACTTTTCTAAAACTAAATTAAGTCTTTAGTACATTTAAAAATAATATTTATAATAATATTTAGAATAGAACAGGAGAAGATTTTTTTGTTTTTTCTTTCTTTCTTTTTTTTTTTTTTTTTTTTTTTTATCGAGTAAACGCTTAATTGAAAAGTACACCGCGAGAAGCATTTCAATAATGCATATGCAATAATTAAGATCTGAATGTTTTTGAGACACTCGGATAAAAATCTATTCTTTACAATTATGCATTTTTCTCAAGTGTAACACACATATTTTTAAAAATAATGAACATCTCATGAAACATCGATATAGCAAGCTTAAAATTCAAAAATTAATTTTAAAACTTGCATTAATTAATTAATTCTTTTTCTCTTAATTATACTTTAACAACATTTTAATTATCAACATTTTCGTCGCAAAATTTGTGCATTGCATTTTCTTACAACAATAAGTCATAATATGTTTACATAGAGAAGATGCAGTTATTCTAAAACGGAACAGCCTTACAATACTTATTGCAGAGTATACAATTATCTTAACTGTTCATAGGGGCAAGCTCGTGAGATTGTTGTCCATTAGCGTTGGAATTAGAAAGTAGCTGGGCTAATGCGGATTGACGCCATTTTCCGTTGTCCCCATTTAGGTTTTTGTCTTCGCAAACGCATAAGAACAGCGTGTCCAACACAGTCTGCAAGAAAATAATTACATACGCATAAAAAAATACATGTCGATGAATTTTCGGTAAAATCAATATTATTCTTATTAGTCGATAGTTAGAAGAGTTATTATTTCCTTACTTTAAAAGAAGCGGAAGCAATTATTGAAAATTATAAAAATCATTGGCATTTAAAGTTTTGAAAAGTTTTAAACTAAGTTCAAAATGAACATTGTAAGTATTAATTCTGCGTTCTGATTGGTTTCATAAATTTAATTAATTAACAGCTTAAATTTATTTGATACAACTTTCAATTTAAGCTATTTATAAGCTCTATCGATATTCCTTGTAACTATTGAACAATCTATGGATATGCATTTTTATTATGTGTTACCTCATAAAGTGAAATCACGCAGTGAGATATGAAGAATGCAAAAATACAAGTAATAAATATTGGAACTGCGTAGAAATGTAATTTAGGATCTTGTCGCAAGAAAAGTAGACCAATGCTTCCAGTTGCCGCAGTTACAAAACATTTTCCCAGAAAGAGCACAAAATCACCTACTCCGTTGATTATTGCTACTTGAAGAGCGTTGCTTACAATCGTATTAAATGCCTATAGAAGATTTCAGTAAATACAATTAAAATTCTAATTACATTTAATATAAAATGCTCATCTCCTTAATTATATTTGATTACAATTTACGAAACTTACAATTCGTGCTGCATTACAAAAATGCGTCCCTTCAATTGCTACCACAGTATAAGCATTATGATTCATGTAACGAATAAACCTTTCTAGGCAATAAAAACAACAGCCGCAACATCTTAAGCTACATTGCACGGGAGCCGAGGCTTCTTTATTTTTTTGAAATCTAAAAATATTAGACAAAATTAGTACCGTAAGCGAACGATGATTTTCAGCGAATATAAAGAAAAATGCAAATTGCTAACAGGTGAAAGGAATTTCATTGAATGAATTTAAGCGTTAACTGTGTTGTTTGATATTTTTAATATATAATAATATCTCAATCGACTAGTATAAAAGCTTACTTCGTATGTAAATAAGTCAAAATCAATCGTGGTAATTTGAAGATTGTTATTAATAATGAGCCACACGCTACCGAGCCCAGATGGTAAGTAACCAACATACTCATCGATGAACAAATTGGCGATGCATTTGCATTTTTACCCCTAATAAAAGTAAAGATTTTGATGTCTTATTATATGGAACAGACGTATAAGAAAGAATACTTTCAAATATGAAAAAATAATGCAAACGTTTAAATGCCACTTACCGAAAATACCAACGAGCAACGGCGCCAGATATTACCATATTTTGGCAGGCAGTGATAAATTCAGAAACCCAAATCAATCCAATAATATAAACCCACCACATATACTTTACCCATGTTGAGTCAGCATATTCAACGAGAGTAAACGCTAAGAGAAATAATATATTATTACTTTCCATTACGTTACACTGGCCTCGTAAGACTACTTTCATACACAATTTCAAACTTACTTTTATAATCATTTAGTGGAATATCCAGTGGTTTTTGATTGTCATCCAAAGGTTTGCCACTGATAGTTGGATTTAAGCTTAACGTGTCAATGGGATTCATTGCTTTTGTATCTGGATAATCTACAAGACAATTAACATTCGATATTTTAGAAATTAAAATATTTTTGTGTGTAATGTTTTATATAGGAAGAACGATTTAACTTACTTGCAGTAGCAAGACAAAGAATAACTAAAATCCAAAATGCAAAAAATATAAGTAGTGCAACGAAAGTTAGTAAAGGTTGGAAAAAGAGTCCTGGTAATTCTGATAAACATTTCGCACTCTCTTTAAATAAATCTCTCATAAAATTAATTTGCTTCTTCACGAAAACCATAAGAACAAGCAAGCATATCTGAAAAATATAATAATTATTTTAAAACGAAATTGAAATATTAATTTTAGTTTAGCAATTGCATATAACCCAATGTATTCAAATAATATTTCCTTATATGGAGAAATTAAACTCATGGCCACGCCTATATATTTTTAAACATTATTGAATAATTACTAAATTTATTATAGAATAATTCTAAAAGATAATCCCTTTTACACACACATTCATGCCACATTTCGTTAAAACAATTATTATGAAAAAAATTTTCAAAATAATAGTATCTTACCGTTATCACAGATGCAATAATAGCGAGAGCTAAGAATACATTTTTATTTTTTAGAGATTCTTCTAAAAATTCATAGGGAAGCTTATCGACCAATTGATGATCAATATCGTAGAATGTCCGCCACAATAAACCAGTCCCAGCTACAAATTTATTTTTTCTTTAATTATAGCATTTCATGCAATGGGGAATAAAAAAATTTTTATTTTACAATTTTAACTTACCTATACTAGCTATAGCCACTAATAACACTACTATCACAGTCACAACGCTTGCTAATAAGTGGAAAATAGCAATCATAAAAAGAGACAGGACTGAAAAATAAGATATTGTATGGTATTATGAATCGAAAGATAGAAAATGTTATGAAAGCTAGATTTTTACCAAAAGATAAAAATGATAGAGCTAAAATTTCTCTCCATGTCTTATACAGATCTCCTAAGATTTGTTCAAATATATCCCAAGAATTAATTAAACCATACACGTTAGAAGCTACTGACTTTGTAGCACTCGTCACTGCCTTAGGAATGCAACGATTAAGTATAGGTTTGCTCTCATGAACTGGAAATACTGGACACGAGCCAGTAATATTTTTCGTATTGCCATTGCCTTTACAAGCGCTAAATCCACTACCAGGTTTATCGTGGCACAATTGCGACCCAGTCTCTTCGTAAAAATTACACACGTCGTGCATGTTGAATAAAGAACGATGGGGACATTTTTTAACGCATATTTTTAAGGATTGCATAATGTTGGCAACATCCATGAAAAATAAGTAACTGCAATTGAATACAAAAAAAATTACATTAGGCACCTTGGAATTTCCTGTTTTTAAAAATTGATACATAAATTTCTAGCCAATGGCAATTATGCATAACGTCAGGATTTCTCAAAAAAATTATATACTACATTATTCACGACATAAACAAGTATTCGTGTGTACATTTTTTTTTTTTTCTTTTTCTTTTTTTTTTGTTGAGATTATTACTTACGGTTTGTCATTAGTATCTTGACCAGATAGTTCCATACTTCCAAATTTTTGATTATTTTTTACACCACAAGTGTTACCAAAACTATCATATCCATTTACAAGCCTTATAGGATCACCATATACAAATGAAAAAGCTGCGATTAATATCTGTAAAGAATAATAATTTTGATTGAATTTTTAAAGCATTATTTTCAAATTGTTATTTATAAAGTGCGCTAATTTTATATAAAATTGATAGAAAACACTAAAAGCCTAAATTTATTACTCCCAATATTTCTATTTATACATTTTCCTAATAATCCATATAGCAATATCGTTTTAACAATCATAATAAATTTCAATCAATGTTTAATACGATTGAATTATTTATTATAAATACATATTATAATATTAAAAATTTTCTTATTTAACATTGTTTATTCTTTTGAAATAAGTATGTATTTCCAATTAGCTTCGTCAAACAAACTTGCCAATTAATTTTATCCATTAATTACATTAAGATTGAGACTTATGTTAACTTGCAAAGTAAAATATAATTATATTTATTTTATATAATCGTATATAAAATAAAAATTTAGTACAATTATTAAATATAGTAAAATAAAATATAATAGATATAAATTTATAGATAGATATGAACTTTGTATAAAGTGATTTTAAAATTGTATATCAATAAATAAAACTTTCTTTAATTAGTTGGGAATAATTTTATAATGAAAGGATTAATTAATATTAATCAATAAATATATTATAAATTACTGTATAGTAGGCATTAGTTTAAACAAAAGTATAATATTTATTTTTTCAATTTTAATTGGTCATATTTAGATAATAATTCAAAAGATATCAAATTAAGATTACTTTTGGATTAATTTTTTTTTTTTACAATTTACATGCATTTTGAAAAGTTAATCTGAGCAAAGATATTTAATACAATGATAATATAGGAAAATAACGAATATAATTAAAAAAAACAAAAACAAAAACAAAAACAAAAACAAAAACAAAAACAAAAACAAAAACAAAAACAAAAACAAAAACAAAAACAAAAACAAAAACAAAAACAAAAACAAAAACAAAAACAAAAACAAAAACAAAAACAAAAACAAAAACAAAAACAAAAACAAAAACAAAAACAAAAACAAAAACAAAACAAAACATATATATATATATATATATATATATATATACATATATGGGTCATCTGCAAAAGATTTAAAAATTAATAAAAGATCTCACAATGTAAATTACGATTATGCATAATAGTATGCGCAACAATGATGAGAATTTGATGCTTAAACAACATATAGTAAACAATCCAGTTTAAAAATAATATTTAAAACGATTGTATGCAGCAAGTATAGGAGAAGGCTTTCTTTTTTTTTTGTCCCACGAACTTTATTAAACTAAAGTGAAGAAAATTTGAAGAATAAGAGAGAAAAACTAATAATTTTACATCACTTCGATCGATTTAATCTTATGGATATTTGTATATTATAGATCATTAGGTTATAATAAACACACCATTAAGAACCAGAACGCTATGAAGAGACAAAGCCAGAAAATGTCGGTACATCCTCGTATCCGTGGCGTCTCTGTGCGTTGTTGTTCTTCGTCGTCGTCGGCACCGCAACAAGACATTTTTTTACGAGCTTTGTATTACCCTCGACGATATAAATGCCAAGTTCCGTCTTAATTATATGTAAATTATGGATGATTCGTATTGTGCGGAACGTAGAAATGAAAAAAGGCGCTGAAAGTGATGCTGAAGGGAAGCATAAACGCACGCACCAACAACAGCCACCGACTATCTCTTTCTACATTAACCATTGGTTACTTTGTACATTGAACCTCGCAATCCTAATCTAAGAAAGAAGGGATGCGCGTTCGACTGCTTGCGCACGAATTGAAATGACGTCAGTTATTCGGAACAATTTTGGAGTTGAAGCGCGTGCAAAGATGATTCTATACTGCGATTAGGAAAACGAGGTGAAGATGAACTTTTTAATTCGCCTAGATCTGGACCAAATCATTATTAATCAGCGAATTTTCTTCTTATTATATAAAACAACAGCAACAACAGCAACAACAACAGCAACAGCAACAGCAACGACAGCAACAACAGCAACAACAGCAACAGCAACAACAGCAACCGCAGCTACGACAACAACAACAACAACAACAACAACAACAAATTGAATTACTCTAACGTATTCAATTGTCGATATTAGGTTATTATTTATATTAAATAATACTGGCTAAGAAGTATGGAAATACAATAATGGAATTCGAAAAATACTGTCAATAATTAATGCCTTTATAATAATCATTCTTCGGGCATTAATTGATGACTTACAATCGAAAATAAAAAAGCAAAAGATAATTAATTATTTTTAAGGAGTTGTAGCGGCTTCGTATAAGTATATAAGAAAGAAGGGAAGTAAATAGAAAAGGGCGAATCACATAATTACATAGGAGTTGCGGACATATAATTAAGTAATTCGTCGTTTGAGGATTGCATAATAACTATATTAAGATAATTAACGTGATAAGATAGACCGAACAGAAGTAATAAAATAATATCGAATAGTCATCGGTACTTGTATACGAAATGCCAAAATGTTAATCCTACTATTTATATTTAATAAGTCATATTGTGCAATAGTGCGACTAAGTTGTTGCTTTCCAATTTACTCCGATGACCAATCGCCAAAATAGAAATAGACATTGAGCCCGTCTTTATGATTCATCCGTAACATTTTACATAATATTCCCAAGAGATTTTGCAATACGATAGCTTGTATACACCCTTTTTTCGTTGGTTAAACAAAGACAAAAAAACTAAACAAAAAACAAAAATGAATTACTCTCGAATAGTAGCGTGTAATATTTGCATGCAGATTACGCGATCAATGATTTAATAGATAAATTTTAATGGAACGAAAATTATAAGTGAATAAAGAATATTTTTCACGAGGGGTAGGGCATTTCATTTATGGATGCATAAATATATTTGGCCGATGTTTCGACAGTTACCCTGACGACTGATTAATCATGCTCTATAATATTCATGCTTTTGATTCATTTTAACAATGCAACCATAACAATTTCACAAATTCAACTCAATTTATTATTATTATATTACGTAAGTAAAATAATGTAAATATCAAGATTAATATGAGGAATATATATATATATATATATATATATATATGTTTTATCTAATTCTAAAAATCATTTCGAAGAGATTGGAATATTTTTAATTTTATGAAATGTAGAATGGATTATGGCATTTGCATGTTCTACATTTCAAAACTATTTATAAATAAATCGAATTTAGTGAATTTAAAGAACAATTTGTATTTTCATAGTTTTAGTTTGATAACACTCGACCAATGAAATTAGAAAATTCGAAAATTTTATTTCAATTATTTTCATTGATTCTTTCGCTCAAAATGTATATAAAAGAAACCGGCGAATGTACTACGGCTGTGAGTACATAATATTAAGAAAAGAGGGTGAAAGTATGCGCGCGTGTACATGAATGTAGATGATTGTCGTGTGGCATGGTCAGAGAAATAGAGAGAGAAAGAGAGAGAGAGAGAGAGAGAGAGAGTGAGAGAGAAATGCAGTCGGCGAGACAGTTTCCGCCTTAATATTTTTGTGTGCTCATTAACAAATGTTCCAAGATTGTATATTAACATTTTAATACTCTTTAGTATTTCAATTTTACGAAAAATTCCGATTGTGAGTTTAATAAAATAAATGATTTTAATTATTTATGAGAAATTTAAGGTGATGGAATTTGTTTACCAGTTTCAGAATTTTAAAAATGGAGTCCTTAGTATGACATAACCTATTATCAATAGTTGCAGTTGCCTTAATGAATATATTTGATTCATATACTTTAAGTACTTAGACGTTGTTATTCGACTTAAATATGATTTCGTAGATATTGATTTACTTTTGGATATATTTTACGAATTTCAAGCAAGTTTATTATAACATAATTATTGCATTTTCAATGTTTACCTTTTTCATACATGAATTAGTTTAAGTTTGAGATTTTACATTATTACAGTAGAATCTTAATGTAATATGAAATTCTATTAACTAAAAAATTTGTGAAATTAGAAAGACTCGATTTTATTATAAAATTTTTATTAGTAAATGGAAATGGAGGATGATAATGGAAAAAGAAACAGGGGCAGGTCTCGTGGACGTACAAGAGGGAGAGGTCGAGGAAGAACCAGAGGACGTACTAAAAAGGCAGTTAAGGTAATTGCTTTTATTGTGAATTTTCTTTTGTATCGTAGCAATTCCTTATTACTTGATGTAAAAGCTTTTAAATATATAATAATTATTTAAAGAACACAAATTTTGTGTAATCAAGTTTTGTATTTAAGTTCAATTACATTAATTCAATTCAATTATGATAATTTATGCAGTGAGTGCATATTTATATAAATTTTAACAAAGTATGTTATTAAAATAAAGGTTATTGAAAGCGATGAGGAAGATATTTCTCAAACTGCTGAGGAAAATGCCATGGATACCAGTGTTCTTGAACCAGATCTGCAAGAAGAAATACCACAAATTCAGCCAGTACAAGCACAACCATTATTACACGCTCAACAAGTCCAGCCAGCACAACAGATACAAGTTCATCAACCAACGGTTGAACAACAGTTTGATTTAGAAGCCGATATTTCACAGCTGGAAGCACCGACATTCACAACAATTAATAGAGGGCCACCCGAGCCGATGCTAAGGTTACGATGGGACCATCGAGTTAATTTAATTGGCGAAAAAGTTTTAAATCCAATGATACATTGCTGTGATAAGTGCTTAAAGCCAATTTTAATATATGGTCGAATGGTAAGAAGTAATTTTTTAGTTATTTTAATGTTGCAAAACGTAAATAAAATGGAGTATAATAAAGAATAATAATTAAATTAATATTTTAAATCGTAAATTTATTTCGTAAATTTTAAAATATAAGAAATATGCAACATAAAATGTGACATACAAAAAGAAGTAAATACTACTATACTTATTTAAAAATAAATATACGTAATGAATGATTAAATACTGTTAGATTGATTTTACTGTAAAATTACAATTTTTGCAATTTCATGTATTTATCATATATATATGTTAAATTGACATTACATTATATTATAATAAAATTATCGATTATATTTATCGTCAGTTATTTTCAATAAGTTTACTTTACACACTAATGCAATATTCATTTAATAAGTTATAAATTTTGATATGTGTTCTTATACGTTGAATATAATGTTTATTAAATTGAACAAGTAAAATAACTATAACTAACATAATTTACAGATACCATGTAAACATGTTTTCTGTTTGTCATGTGCTAAAAGAGAAGATAAAGTATGTCCTAGATGTATTGAAAAAGTATCTAGAGTAGAACAAACGGGTCTGGGAACTGTCTTCATGTGTACACATGGTGGAACCAGATATGGTAATGCTGGTTGTCGAAGAACATATCTTAGTCAGAGAGATCTACAGGTAAATTGATAAATATTCTATAGCTCAAATAATATAAATTTTTACTTGCAATAATAATCTGAAGTAGCTTTTACGTGATATATGCGTCATTTGCTATTTTATAAGAAAATACATGATGTATCTTAAAATATTTACAGATTTTATAATTCACAAAAATTATCACCAAATGTATTCAAACGTTTCACGTCTCGTATAAAGTCTCGCGTATAAAAGCAATGCTCATCTTGGCTGTTTAGGCTCACATAAACCATCGGCATGTGTCAGCACCGCCGCCGCAGCCAGTGCAAAGTATGCAGTTGGACGGTCCGCCAGCCTACATTCAGCACTCCAAAAGTTCGGACATGCTTATGGACTCGCAGCTAATGGCCAAGGGCGTACCAAATAACCGCATGAAATCCATGGTGTCCGGTCACATGGTGCCGCCAAATGTGATGGGCAGTGACCCTCGTGTCAATTCCGTCGTCGGACAGCAATCCTCGTCTCTGGACCATCGACAATCCCAACAGCACCGACACTATTCCCAAAACTCAGTGCCCTCGCAGCAGCAGCAGTCCAGTAACTCACAGATGCGCTCGAATCTTATAACAGTGCCCATACAGGATACGAGCGTTATGGGGTCGCACGAACTTCAGCAGCAACAACAGCAACAGCAGCAGCAACAACAGCAGAGCCATCACTATTATCATTCTGATAACCATGTGAACGCGAGTCTTGCAGCAAGGTGTGCATACATTTGTGACGTGATAATGTTCGGGAACGTCGTTACGGATCGCTTCGAGCAATTGCGAATTATCGAAATCGTCTCGTAAACAGGACGCTGAAAACTTATAAAATCAAATGAAATTTAAACGCACCCATTCCTCGCGCGTGCACCTTTAAAAAACTTAAGTCTTGTCAAATTATTCGGTTAATCTTTTATGCCTCTTAGACGCGCGCGCACGCACACACACACGTGCACACACACACACACACACACACACACACAAAATCCGCTGAAAATAGACATTTGTCGGTGGGCTAATATCTAAGGACTCGCAATTGAAATTTACCGCATAAGATTGAATGAGCCCTCGTATTACAGACACGTTGTGCTGTCTGGCCAGCCTCCCCCGCCACCGCCACCCCAGGTGAATTACGGTGGGTACGGTGTGAATGTGGTGGCTCCGCCCCCGACGCAGACCCAGCAGTACTACAATCCACAGCACGCGCACGCGGCACAAATGACGTATGTGCCTCAGCAGCAACAATACGGGGTAAGTCAGGCGTCAAGGTCCGCTTACGTGCAGGATTCGCAATACGGGCCTCAGCAGCAACAGCAGCAGCAACAGCAACAGCAACAACAACAGCAGCAGCAGCCGCCCCCACAAGCCTCCCAGCAACAGCAGTGGAGTCAACACCAACAGCAGTTTTACAGATAAGATCCAGCGATCGAGGAAATACGCTAGAGCGTCTTATATTTATTACCTCGTCGATTGGTACGTGAAGTCGGGGAGTCGCGACCATGGGAATGTAAAGATCGTTCATTAGATTTTTTTGACTGAACTTTCACGGGCTCGACTTCCCCGTTGAGTAACGATACGCCTATTGGGATTTGAAGTGCAGCATTTCCTTTAGATTTTGTCGAAAATTGTCGTACGAAAATCGAAATGTTGTAACGAAAGTGTGGACTTTCAGCTGAAGAGTTTTGGTCACCCAGTGTGTATAAAGTTGGTACCTGTTAATATAATTTTATAGACGATACTTTTTAAAAGGCGCATACCGATGCATTTAAAGTATTTATTTAAAGGCACGTACTGAAAATTCAAAATATTAATTTTTCAACTTGATTTTAGTATAACTATTTCTGACAAAATTTCTTTATAGATATTTTTTATTGGAACTCAAATTGAATGTGATGTAGTTAATTAATTGTAAATAAGTATTGATATTACCATTCACTATACTATTTATTTTTCAAAGATAGTGTTAGTCACTTTCAAATATATAACTAACTACCTTTTGTCATCATTTAATTTGATAATTAAAGATAGCCTTGTCAAAAATTGCAAATAAAAGCGCTAATTTTTAAATTGAAATATTAAAATAATACAGACAACAACAACAAAAAAATAGATATATATATATATATAATTAGAAATAATTTTAAAAAATTATAATTTGTGGGGATTTGAAGTGGATGCCTCATATTTTGAAATACAAATATATATATATATACATATATACATATATATATATATATATATATATATATATATATATATATATATTCAAGTTATTGATACTATTTTTCAAAAATTAAATAATGTTATATAACATTTAATTTGTCACATTTAAATTGATAGTTATTCTCGTAAGGGAAGATTTTTTTATTTTATATGAATTTAATTTTTAGATACAAGAAGATTAACTAAATACGATTAAATTACACTTTAATTCTGTAAAAAATGTTTTCATATAATGGAAGTAACTTCGTTTTAAAATTAATTAACATGTGCTGCTGAATAATAAAGAAACATCGATTTTAACGTTTTCTTTGTTTTTTTTACTCATTTAATATTAGAAATTTAAAGATTTAGCAATGTGACTGTAATTTAAATAATTTAAACAATTTTTCCACTTTCTCGAAAAGTATTAGACGATAAAAGAAAATGTTCCAAATTCTATAATTTATGCGATTAAATTTAAAAAAATTATATTTTTTCTTCCATTAAAGCTTCATTCGCAAATTCATATTTTACGAGAATATTAATATGATTTTGTTCGTAATTAATCGTTATCGTTCGTTAATCTTGGAAATTTATTTGATTAATCATTATTGTAATAGCAAACATTTTTTTGCAAAAAAAGATTCTTTAATTTTCTACCAATTTTTCAATAAAATTTTATTTAAATGTACTACTGAATTATTTGATTAAAAGTTCAATCATTGTTATTCATAAAATCAAATAATATCGTTCCGTTGCAAAAATATGAATTAATTAAGTGAATTTCGAAAATTAAAATAATAAAAAAATTAATAAAAATAAAATTTATAATAATTATCTTATGTTCTCGTGTGTGTGTGTGTGTGTGTGTGTGTGTGTGTGTGTGTGTGTGTGTGTGTGTGTGTGTGAAGAGTCTATTAAAAGTAAAAGGATAATGCCACGAAAACACTGTATCGTTGTAAAAGGATTTTAAGGTGAACAAAGTGACGTTGACATATTTTATATTTTTCATCGAACGACGGTGGCCAAGCTGCTTTCTGCTTGTACAGCAATAAATAGAATTTTTTAAATTTTGTTGGTGTGCTATCTTATTGATTACCTCTTCAATCATAAAGCATAATAATTCATTTATACACATTATGGTTTATGGTTTCTTACGTAATTGTAAGTTGTATTAATTAATTTGATACTTAATATTTTATATTAATTTAAACTGGCACTTTGTCAATGGAAATTGTATTTAATATCGATTGTATAATATATCTGTAATAAAACAATTTGTTTTCTATGTTAAAAATATAACTTAATTAATAATTTAATTAAAATTTCAAGATTAATTCTTCGACGTTTGAATTTATAAAAATGAATATAAATTGAAACTAGATATTATAATATTACATTTCACAGTGAATTAACAATATTCCAAATAAGGTAATCTTACCTTATAAATAAGTCTTTTCTTTTCTTTCTTTCGTTTTAACATAAATGGTTACATTCGTCTGGAATAAAAATTATATAGTAATTTTAAGCATTTTATTCATTAACAAAAATAAGTGAAATGACAACATTTTTATAAATAAGATTTTATATAATTCAAAAAGTCATTAACCATCGCGTATGTACAAAAGTATTATTAGAGTCATTAATACAATAATAGTAGAAGCTAATATCTATGTTTGTTAACGCGTATTTATTTGACAAAGTCATTTCTTATCCGCACATCATTTTTGACTTCGAAAATTTTAATCCAATGCTTTTTGTCAGAAAACTTGAGAAAAGTGATGAAATCACTTAAGAAGGTTTAATCATATTATTTTTTTTTTTTTTTTTTTTTTTTTTTTTTTTTTTGGCAATTATTCAAACATTAATAAAATTTATTATATTTTTTAACTGATAATATTAGCGCTGTTTACGTACTTAGTCAAGGCAATCGGCAGTCCCAATAAATTCAAATATCCACAGAATATTTTTTTTTCTTCCATATATAGTGCACATAAAAATAGTTATTTCGTCGATAATAATGTCTTGCCTTTTAAATAATGTACAATTTCGTATTTTATTCCGAATGTACGTGAGCTTCATATATCCTGTTGGCTACCCTTACACATCAATTGATCCCAGGACAATGCGCCTAAATATATCTGCAACTCATTTGTAGACCGAAGTCTTGAGGTAGCTCTAATGAATTATTTACCAAATGTGGTAATAAATCAATGATGTTCTTATATAATTCCAACTTTTTAATTTAACAGAAAAATTTTGCTATCACTAACGCAAACAATACTTTTCAAATTATCCAACCCTACATAAGGATCTATTATTTATAATGAACTTGTTTGTCTTAACAAACAAAAAGTCTGTAGTATTAACTAGTACTCATTTTATTTTAATTAAAAAATTCTTACATTGTAAGATATCTAACGTGTATTTTTGAAGAATTTCAATGTGAACACTTTCTCATTAATTCATAAATTTTTTATTTCATGATTATTGAATTGTAAATAAAAAGAGAAGAAGAGAGAGAGAAAAGAAAATAAGAAATTTGTTTGAATACAAACACACTCGCTTTTTAATTAATAACTAAAATAGATATGCAATAATTAAAAGAAAAAGAAAAAAAAATTGTTTAATGTTTAATCGTTCATTGGGTTATTGCTATTTAAACATTATTAAACGCACTATATTGTGTAAATATAAAAATTTATATTTATAAATCTTAGTTATTACATTAACAATCAAGAAAATCACAAGTCCGTTACTTCAATTCTTCATTTTTAATATTTTAAAAGCAGATACTATCCTTAAAATCTTTTATTTAATAAATCATTTTTTATTTTTATGTTTGTATAGTACGCGAGTTTCATTTAAATCACATATGAAGCTGCAAATTGAAAGTATATGAATTTAATTGTTAAAAATGCGTATGTTGCGTATGTACAAAATATATCGAGGAAGACCAATAATCCAATCTGAAAAGTATGTACAACGATTTTAATTAAGGGAATTTGTATAATTTATAAAAAAACTATATACTCTCACGTCATAAGAGCTGATTTTCATAAATACTTCAATTATTTCTAGAAGCCTTTTAATCATCTATTATAATTTTTAAATTGTAAGTAAAATATCTGCTCAAAATATACACAAACCCTTAATATTTATAATCTACCCTTTATATATGTACATATATAATTTAAACGGCTTTGTACAACTTGTCATAAATGTATGTATCATGTCATGTATGTATGAGTTGGAAATCGTAAACGACTTCGTTTGCATTGATACAATCCATCTCGACGGGTTTAAGTAAATTTTACGAAAATAAGTTTTATCGATGCTTTGATTTCACTTTAAATTATATATCGAAATTATAATTAGTAAAATATCAATGTTAAAAACATATTTCACAAAATAATTATTTGGCGGATAATCTTGTACTTGGAGAAAATGTATTATGACGACAATAATTCTAATTTTTTCATACATTTATCAAATTTTTTCAACACCTATATTACAAGAGTTTGTATAGTTTTACTTTTGCTTCTATAAAAGTGAGACTAATGCACAGCCCCTGAATCAAGTGACTTCTAAATGCTTACCAAACAAAAGAACGCGCACTGCCTTTTAAGTATAAAAACAAAGAAAAAGCTAATCTGACATTTAATTAAATTTCAGTTTAAATTCGACATAATAACTACTGATCATAAATATAACAAAGTGTATGTTTCTCTCCTTTTAAAATTTTTTTTTTGTCTTTTTTTTTTTTTGTTTTTGCTTTGCTTCGTTTTTTTCTTATAAACTTTAAAGTTTTAATATGATATGGCCTATTTAATAAATGACCACTTGAAATTTGCTACGCACACTAATGAAGTTAACGATGCATGTTTCAAGTTTTAAGATACAAGATCCAAACAAAATATTTCGCGTGAAGAATTTGTAAATAAATATAAAAAGTGAATACATATATACATACGCACAATGCATACACATAAACATACATAAACACATGCATGGCATACACACATACATACATGCATACATGCGCGCGCGCGCGCACGCACGCACGCAAACACACAAATTATATATATATTTACTTTTTATAAATATATAGATATATACAAAATTTCAAAGCTCAGTCAATTTATCAAATATTGCCATAATTATAGACTGCTCGCTTAGGAACGTATATTTCTTATTAATCTTTCTAAACTGTCTCTTTCGTTTATTCTCACACTTTTGGACTTTCATTTTTTGACGGAAGACTCGTCAGGATTTTCCAACGAGTCTTTGGCTGAGGATCACGTGCTGCTACTTGTTGATGGGTTGTTGTGAATGTTGACGTTGATTTGCGGAATGAGAGGCGGGGGCAAAGATTTCGATATCGTAGATTCGGGTATTTGAACCGATACAGCGGATGGTGCTGGCGAGTGCTTTTTGCTTCTGTCTTGCTGCCAAGGCTTTGAGTGATCCTTACTTAGTCTCTCGCTCAGAGCTTTGAGTGCTATTTGTCTATAAAAGAACAATCATACCATTTTTAGTCCTTCGATAATTCGATATTTTCGATGATTTGTCATTTTTTATTATTATTATTTTTATATTTATTTATTTTTTTTTTTTTTGTTAAAGAAAAGCTTTTGCATTATTATTATTATTATTATTATTATTATTATATACTATCAAGTGCTTAATTTTTTTTCACGCTTTACCTCAATACAATTAAAGTTTGAATTTATCAGCGCAAACATTTTACGATTTCAATTATTTTTTTTTTTTTTTTTATTTATCTTTTTTTTTTCGGATAATAAGATAAATATAAATTGACGTAAATATAAAAATGATGATAGAAGTCGTCAGAATGAGCAAAAGTAATAAAACGTGATATATTTAATTTATCAAATTTTATTTTCATAATTCAATTAATATCGAACCAACAAAAAGTAATGTAAAATTCTATTTTATAATCTCATTGAAAGACTATGAAATTGATACCAAAAATATCACGACATAAATATGACTATATAAATATTTTTTAACAAAATGTGATTTTATTTAAAAATTTTATTTAAAAATGATTTGCACAAGGCCTAAAATCTCATTTATTTCATCTAACAATTAATTTTTATATGCCTTTCTATCTTAAAAGCTTTTACATATTATTGGTTTTTTATTATAAATTAAAATGCATAAAATTAATCATTTTTATGGTTTAAATTAATATATAAATCGATAAAATAAGTTGAATCGCTAAGCTATTAAAAAATAAAAGCTCTTTAATTTAACTTCAATTAATTATTTATATTTCATTAATATAACAATATAATAATAATATTTATAAATGATCATTTATTCTATATTTATTAAAATAGTTTAGTTTAACTTTCAAAAATATTCAATATTGTATTTGAATTTAAAAGTATTCGCTTTATATGAATCTAATCATCTAGCAAGTATTATTTTTAAAAAATTTTCACATAACTTTATTATCTAAAATTCTTGTTTATAGCGTGATATTTATAAGAACAAAATACTACTAAATGACACGCTTCTTTTCATTTCTTAGTAAAAATCTTGGCCTCTGAATATTATAAAATCAATATTATTATACAAATTAAGAACATATATATTTACGAAATAATATCGTTGACGTATTATTTCAATTAAAAAAAAAGTTATGGTTAATTATATTTATTAGTTGCTTTCAGTTACTTTTGTATAAGTAATGACTCAGAAAAATATATCATTTATTATTAGTAATCTATAAGAAATGTTTTCGTTATTTTTAATAATAAAAGTAATAACAGATTGAATTATTCAGGAAAATTTCTACGCTTCCGTAAATTTATTCATCTTGTCCAATGAAGATTTGAAAATCTTATTACACATGCGCGCAAAAATAAATATAAACAATGAGAATATTGTTAACTATTTTTAATGTATCTAACAAAGCTTAGGCGATCACTGGATCTGCATTTTATTTTTAATAATTGTACGTATAATGTCGACAAAAGTTTAATACTTGACAAAAATAACTTTTTGGAACTATGCCAATTTTTTTTTTTCGAGAATATTGTTTTAATATTGTTTTTCCATTTTTAAGAATATTATCTAGGAAGCTTTAATGATTTTGAGATAGATATTATTGGCGACTATATATTTATAAAAATCCTGCATATTATATTATTTAATGTTACAAAAAACGTGAATATTAAAATATAAAGATGTATCAATTATAGATTCACGCAAACACATGTAACATGATGCTTAATTATATGTTAAAGACACATTCTCAATATTTTTAATAATGTTTGTTAGATGTACAGTATTTATGATATTTTCAGTTAGAATGAATGATCTATTTCTTATATGTTCATACATTAACTAAAATTTTCATAATTACATTTTAAGAACTTCAAATAAAGATAATTGGTAATGAGTTCGAATTGATAAAAAAAAAAATACAAATCGACTTCGCTAATAAATACACATACCTTCGTCTTTCGCTATCATGAGGATCGATTCCAGGTAAATTAATGACAAGCCCCGGTGGTGCATTGGACATGTCGAATCTACGAACAACTTTTCTACAAAGACCGATCCTAACAAAAAATCCATGAATTGTATTACTAACTACCGCAATAGGTGGTTGCAATACATTTGGAAAGAAACTGTAACATAAAATATAAATTATTATGTAATGTTTTTTTAACAAATTTTTAAAAATAATGTTCTATCTTAAAATATTTATCGTCCAATTATATTTAGAGATGGATGACACGTAATGTTCAATTGGTTTTCCATAAATTTCTCTGAATTTTAACGAATTGAAAAAAATCTATAAAAAATATATATGTGTATAATACTGCGAATTTTTCTTATTACCTAGCAAATGTAAAATTATCCGCCATATCTCCCCTTGAACCATTGTTATGCCTCTGATAAAATCTTAAGTACATCCAGGATATTAATAATCCACTAAGAAACATTGTCGGATGTGTACCTTCTAATAATCCAAGAAGCCATAAGAGTAAATATACAATCCATACCATTAGAGGTATGTTTCTATTTGTTATTTTTCCAATTGGAGTTTTAATTAAGATATGATCTGGCATTATTTGTTTAACTGCAACACTGACGCCTAAGGAAAAAATTGGTTTTATCAGTGAAAAGTATAATTAGGAAAGTCCTTCATTCATCGATGATAATTAATAACAACTATACGCTTATTATAATTATTATTCCAATCAATATTGTACGCTATTACTTTATAATAATACATTATTTCTATTATTGTATAGACTAATTACAGATTGGTATATATATATATATATATATATATATATATATATATTATACCGCATCGTGTAAAGGAATGAATTTATAAATGGTACGATTATATATCATTGACTAGATACGTCGTTCTAAAAATTTTAGTATAAAATATGAAAACTAATAATTGTACATTGATAAATGGTTTTTTCTGATTTACAACGATAGCTCAATATTCTGAATTAAATACTATATTAAAATTATAATTCAAACCTGCTATATATCCAGTTAGACCATGTATATGAATGCCAAATAGTAAATCCGTATCTCCAGCGCACATGTAAAGTATTAAATAGAACATAGTTGATAGGACGGCAACTCCAAAGTTAACAATAGCAAAGAATATCATCATCTCCATAGCACCCCACAGTGGTTCGATGAGCTTCCCACACAATCCTACAGTAATCACATCAACGCACACTTCCCAAAAATGTATCTCTAAGAAGCAGAAGGTGAATGCTGTCCAGATCCAGAAGGCGGGTGGTATTAAATATCCTGGAGTGACGCTGAGTACAAGCACAGCATTTTCGGAGAAGGATAAGCAATAGGAAAAGAGAACAACGATGCAGATAAATTTTACACTAGTACTTGTGTTACCAAGAAGAGCGGCGAATTGTTGGCGTAGATAAGGGATATCTCTGCCGAAATTCTTGATCGCGGCCATGGCTTTCTAGCACAACGCGACGAGGTACACGACGATGCTGTTTCGCTCCTTATTCCGTCTGTCACTCTATCTCTCTTACTCGCCCGCGTACGCACGCACGGGCGCACTTTCTCTCGCTCTCTCTCCTTCGTTTGTTTTTAGCGCAGAAGAGAAACGGACGTGCATACGTGTGAGTTCTTTTTCTAACCTAACATTACGGCGGTATCATTCGATCGCATGTATTAACTGCACCGAATGCTAATTGCCAATTGCAAGTGTGTAAATTATAGTCCGTGATATCTTCTATTCGCCAAAGCTCCAGAGAAATTATCTTATTCTCTATTTTTCTGAAACTCTAACTTCTGTGCTGTCATCTAACGTTTGAGCTTCGACTGATTAGACTTACTAGCCATTCACTAGCCATTGACATTGCATTCTCAACTACTACTACATGCACACACGACCTGTCCTGACGGGAGTATTTAAAATTTTATCATAATATTCGACTATTAATACTAATTTGTCAATATACGTAATAATAAAGGCAAGTTAGCTTTGTGTATGTATATATATATATATATATATATATATATATATATATAGGGAATAAATCTGTTTAATATTATGCATTGGAAAGCGTAGATGTTTGAACTTTTGAGATCATTTGAATTGACCGAACAATGGCATATATTTCAACAAGGATATTCAAATAAGAAAATATTGACTACAAAAGAAAATGCTTCTCCGATACATATATATATATATATATATATATATATATAGAGAGAGAGAGAGAGAGCGAGAGAGAGAGAGAGAAAGAGAGAAAGAGAGAGAGTGCAAGCTATAAAAATTCTTTTACGAGTGATTGAATAATATCGTGTATAATATACTCTACATTTATTCGGGCTTCACATATGCAGATTCTTTGCTAAAAATATACAACCTACCTATTCTTCAAATCAAAAATTCCATTTAAATATTACTTTATAGATTACTTTCGGTAAATAAAAGTTCCGAATAGTATTCATTTGGTAAAGGAACATTTTTCATATTCTATAAATCATTTAAGGATAGTCTAAATGCTTAACATTGTCCCATAATTCTTATATCATTTAAAAATCAAAGTACCTCCTTAAAAGTGTAATGACACTTAAAATCCTTATAAATATAATTTATAAGATCGACCGTTTAAAATTTAATGTAATAAAATAATTTGAGGTAGCTTATCTAAATTTACATCTTATCTAAGGTCTTTCACAACAGATAATATCTGTCTTATATTATTATATTTCAAATCCATATTGTAAATTAGCATATTTAGGTACTTTGAATAATTAGTCATTAAATTTTTATAATTTTTCTTATAAACAATACGTTAGTTCGTTACTCCCTTATCTCCGCAGTTTATCAGGCGTAAAACATATACTTCTAACGATTCTCAGATTTATCATTTATCAATTAAAACAGATCGATTAGCATACGCAAATGCTCCAATAGACCATCAACTGTGAAATGCATACATTTGTATATTTCTGCACGCGTAAACTTGCATATTTCTGATAGACGTAAATCTATTCAAAATTGACACGCGTAAACAGTTCGATACTGACACGCATAAACCTGTCTAACATGTACGTCAACCAAATATGTCGAACAATAGACCAATGTATCTATAACTTACATTATATGAAAATGTTTCTTTGCCAGATATTGCTTGCTTAACTGCAATTATTCAAACAAATATTAAATACAAGCTTTGTCGTGCTTTTTTAAGATTTTTGTTGTTGTTGTTGTTTTTTTTTTGTTTTTTGTTTTTGTTTTTTGTTTTTGTTTTGTTTAGATTAAATCAATAAACCGACCACCAGTAGAACGTTAAATTTTGATAAAATTATTGATAACTAAAATATAGATAGATGAGTACGTGTGCTAAGGATTGTAATATTAAAAATTGTAAATTAAGGACCATAATTCTAAATAAATCGTTAATATTTATTGTTTTGTGAATGATATCATTGTGTTCATAATTTCAATTGTCGAGGATAAATTTTATTTCGCGAAACGTTAAAATCTAATGGTTCTTTATCATGAGACTTATCAGAGATATCCGTCTAACTATTTAGTATTAACTTGCCGGTTCTTTTTATCTTATTTATTAGGATAATGAAATGCCGCAGGGTATAAGTCTTGTATATCAGTGAAGCATAAGCTTGGCTGTCTTACCGTCTTATCTAATCAACGAAGAATCTCTATCTTTAAAATTGAAATTTTTATCAATTTGTGTAAAAATCCTATATACATATACATTAGTTATGATTTTAAAGGAGATATTGTTTATGTCTCATTAAATTTAAACGTTGCTAATTTAAAAAATTAAATTGAATTATATAATTCACACACACACACACACGCACACACACACACACACACACAAATTAATATTTTGTATTGCTTAATATTTTTACTCATCGACAAATTGTTTCAGTGCTAAAACTAAATTTATTTTTACAATTGGGCTAGAATAGCTTGGTCTAGAAGGATATGATGTAATTAATTACTTTTATTATTTTTATTGTCGTAAAAGTATAAATTACATAAATTTAATATATCGACCAAAGCAACGAAATAATTTATTATTTACTTATATGTGTCGAGGATAAAAAGCAATTTTAAAAACATAATCAATTTTTATAGTCAGAATGATAGATTTAGATAGATATACATGTATGTATAGATTTAAGTGACAAGTCTGCAAATTAAATTAAAATTAAATGATTCTTGCCGAGAGTATTATTGTCCTTGAAAATATAATACACACTTGTAATTATAATATTTTTAAGAATTTTTTAAAAGTTGAATCTGTAAGAAATCGTTGGAAGCTCCCATTATTATTAAATACTAATTTTTCATATTTTAGTCATTTCATAAAAATTAATCGAATAAAGATATCAAATATTTGACAAAAATATTGATCGTTGCCGTTACGTATGCTCGTTATAATATTGTATTTTAGAACAAAAAAAAAAAAAAAAAAAAAAAAAAAAAAAAAAAAAACCGATATATTTAACAAGTGGCGGTTAAACAGTTAAAAGCATTATAAGGATAAGTGTATATTAAATTTCTAACTGATTTATTATGTTATTTATATAAATTAAACTTAATTTCAGTTTATCAAAGATATCTTTCAAATCATTCTTTGGAAAATATAAAGCAACCGTTGAATTAAACAATTGTAATTATTAGGCATTACTGTTAATTTAATAATTGATAAGATATTTCGAATTCTATTCACATGCTTAATGTATATTTAAATAAATATTTAATACATTAAATTGATAGGGGCATGATTAATTTAAGATTAAGGAATGACCATGAAGTATTTCCGTCCACGAGAAAACGAAAATGTTTAAATGGCTTTCCAGACAAGAGGTGATCTCACTCGGACATCGAAACATCAGAGTAGAGGGATTTGTGATAAATGTAAACGTCAATGATTGATTCGTTATTGTGACGATCATACATTTTTCGGAGGAACTGTTTCGATTTTCAACGAAGCATTTCCGGGATACTTGCATCGGCATAAACGGCAAAGTCGATCTATACGGAAATCTGATGAGATTAAAAGATAGATCGTCGTGTATGAGGTGATGAAAGCGATGCACAATGACGAATTATGCGATATGGTAAGTGAGTAACGATTGCTTTATCAGAGCTTAGAATGTTGTTTGCTTCAAGTGTAAAAGGCGAGAATGAAAAATGAAAATGAAGGTGACTTTAAAGAGTCGCGAATATAGGGCGATAGAGTTAAGCGATGTTCGGATAGACCTGTCGACGCCATCGATTGTGTTTACTCGTTACATTATACGTATATTTGGTAATGAAATTACGAAGAAGAATAAGGGAATGTTTAAGGGACGAGAAGCAGCAGGTGAGAATAACCTGTCAATAAATTAAAATAATTCTGAGACTATGTAGTTGAAAAAACTTTCAACTGACGTCGATTAATACGGAGAGTTTCTGGTTGACATTGCCGTCACTGTAAGAATCGTTCCATTTTTAAGAAACAGCTATGGTAATTTGTTGTCCATGAATCGTTGGTTATTTACGACGCATGCGTAATAGTTTTTATGCTTTCATAATTTTAAGGGATTTATCCGAAATTATGTCTTGTTTGCGTAGGTCCTAAGTGGCTTTCGTTCCTCAAGAAAGATGCAGTAAGCGAGCTCGGCCAGGAGCGGCCCTAAGCATTTAACAGCCTGAAGAAAGTGCTAACCCGAAGACGAGTATTGCAAATTTATGACCATCGTCAAGAGGCAGAGTCGTCTTCGAATGCTTTTGCAGACAACTATAGGGTGACGCTGTTTCAGAGAACTCCCGAGAGTACCAGCAGATATATGCATTCTATTGCATAAGCCGCAAGACAAGCTCGGCCCAAAGTAGATAAAGCAGCGACAAGCTACACAGTTCCTGTCCATTATTTGAGCATCGGAGAAGTTTTGTAGTTATATCTGTTGAGGCTAACCTTCAAGATTGTCAGCAGCTTTACGGTATTCCGTCTAACGACGAGTAGGAGTACAATTGTCCAACTCACCGGTTGGAGCGAATCGCAAACACCAACGCTGTATAATCAATATTAAATGAGAGAGGGAGAGAGGGAGAGAGGGAGAGAGGGAGAGAGAGAGAGAGAGAGAGAGAGAGTGCGTGTGCGTGCGCGTGTGTTTGCGTGTTTGCGCGCGCGCGTTTGCATTATCGTTCCAAAGGAAGAAAAGTACTTTTTCAATCATTTCTGATTATATTTTTACTACAATTTTAATAAATCTATTTTATTGTTTCGATATTTCTTTGGTATGGATCGAATAATTAGATTGAAGATTATGATAAAATGTTATTTATAAATGATAATTATTCTTAGATTGTCAATTGCTCATTAGATAAATCAAGTATATAATATCATTAGATTGTTTTAACTACGTAGAATCCAATAAACATTCGATATATCGTTTTAGCGTTAAGCAATTTTATATTATGAATTACATATAATATTATATAATTTTAATTTTGCAAAATAATACGTTGACTACACGAGTATTGGGAAATTTTTATTAAAATTATATTTTTAAAAAGTTTATCTCTCCCTTTTATTATCTTTCATTATTATAAAGTTGTACAATTCTAACTTGATATTGATCTATTTATTATCTTCAAAGGTTATTTCGAAATTTTGTAAATAACTCGCACTTTTCCACCATTATTATTTTATAATTGAGATGGGTTAATTAGATTTATTATTTTATTGTTAAATATTACATACTCTTACATGTATCGATTTAGATATTACGATTGTAATTCCTAGCGTATGAAGTATATTGATTATTTTATAATTATATAGCCTTTAATACATATG